CATGCTATGCTGCTAACGGGGGCTCGCTGGGCATTATTGGGCAAATCCGCGCCAAAATTTGCATTGGAGATATTAAATTATCCGGCCCTGTTTTGGTTTCCTCCTCACTCGCGGTTCCGTGCCTGTTGGGGACGGATTTCTTGGCCAAAATGCCCATCCGTATCTTGATTGACCAGGGGTGCATCGAGCTCCCATCGGGCCGATGTGTTACATTTTTGTCTTCCCCCACCACGGAGCGTCGGGCGTTTGCCACCGTGCAGGCGCTCATGACAAAAACTGTGCGCGTACCCCCGGGAGCTCAGATGCTCGTCCCTCTTAGGTTGCGTCGGCCGTTTGCTGAAGGGGTTGCGGATCGGGGGGTCTTGTTGGGACCATCTCGAGCCGGGGTCAATGGACCCGATTTGCTAGCGGCTCAGACCATGGTGAAAGGGGATGGGGACCCCTTCATTGCAGTCCTTAATGTAGGATCGCGAACGGCCGTGGTTCCTCAAGGGACTGTGCTTGCACACGCAACGCCGGTACCCTATGAGGAACCACTCGTGGGTCAGGTAACCACCGATCCTCCGTCGCGACCGCATTCGGACTGTGATGACGGATGGCTGGATGCGCTTTGCGCGGGATCAGTGGACCTGTCCGACTCGCAGCGCGCGCAGCTGCGAGTTCTCCTGAACGAATTTGCTGACGTTTTTAGTCAACACAAATTTGATATTGGTTGTACTAAATTGCTGCGACACCATATTGACACGGGTGACAGCGCGCCAATCCGCCAAAATCCCTTTCGGTTGAGTCCCGCCGAAAAGGATCATGTCAAATCGGCTGTTGATGACATGCTAGCCGCCGATATCATTTCCCCTTCCAACAGCCCGTGGGGCGCGCCGATCGTTTTGGTGAAAAAACACGACGGCTCACTGCGGTTTTGCGTCGACTTTCGGCGATTGAACAAAATTTCTGTGGCAGATGCGTACCCGCTTCCTCGAATGGATGAGTCGCTCGATGCCTTGGCGGGGGCGCGATTCTTTTCCACCCTCGATTTACTATCTGGATTCTGGTAGCTTCCTCTGGATGACGAATCAAAACCTAAGACTGCTTTTCGTACACCGCAAGGTCTCTTCCAATTTAACTGCTTGCCGATGGGCTTACATTCTGCGCCGGCAACTTTTCAGCGGTTAATGGAACTGGTCTTGGCAGGCTTGCAATGAGATTCGTGTTTAATTTATTTGGACGATGTCATCGTCTTTAGCAAATCCTTCGAGGAACACCTCCAGAGGTTGCGTGCTGTTTTTCTCAAAATGCGGGCTGCCAATTTAAAATTTAAACCGCAGAAGTGCCATTTGCTCCGCGAATCGGTGCGGTATTTGGGTCACATTGTTGGGCGCTCGGGGATATCCACTGATCCCGCCAAAACGGAATGCGTCAGCTCCTGGCCGACTCCCACCTCGGTGGGAGAGGTCAGGAGTTTCATTGGGTTCGCGTCGTACTATCGACGGTTTGTGGCTGACTTCGCTACGATCGTGAAACCATTGCATGCCTTGACGTCCAAGGGAGTCAGGTTTCATTGGGGGCCGGAGGAGGAGGCTGCTTTTTGCGCCCTCCGGAATGCCCTGGTGGGGGCTCCGCCGTTGAATTACCCCGATTTCTCACAACCCTTCTTGCTCGATACAGATGCAAGTAACACGGGCATCGGGGGCGTGCTGTCCCAGCTCATTGGGGGTGTAGAGCATGTGGTGGCTTACGGTAGTCGGGTACTGTCTCCAGCGGAACAACGGTACTGCGTTACCCGTCGGGAATTATTGGCAATTGTTTATTTCATTCAGCAGTACCGCCCGTATCTGTACGGTCGGCGTTTCACCGTCCGTACAGATCATGCGGCCCTACAGTACGCTCTGCGGGTTCAACAACCATCGGGCCAGTTGTCTCGATGGTTGGAGATTCTCCAAGACTACGACTTTGTCACCACATATCGTAAGGGCGTCCGCCACACGAACGCTGACGCCCTGTCGCGGTTGCCACCCACTTCGGAGTGCGCTTGCCTCTTGGGTTCGGGGCGTTGTAGGCCCCCGAACGTCACCACCGATTCGGTCCTCGTGGCCGCCGCCGATGCGCCTTCGGCTTCGGGTCCTATCGAGCAAGAAGGGAGGGATTCGTTGCTGGGGTTGTCGGTCGCGGAATGGGGACGCCTCCAAATGGAGAACACCTCCCTCCTCGCTCTGCGCCGTCGCGCCGGGGGGGTTGGTCAGGGGGTGGCGAACGTTGACTCGTGGGGGTTGTTCCAGGGTCTTTTAATGCACTGGGACAGAAAAACCCGCCGCCAGCGGCTCGTGGTGCCTGCAGCATTAAGGGGTAAGGTGGTATGGGCTGTTCATGAGCGGCTTCTGCACTTGGGGGTTCACAAGACCTTTTCCACGCTCCAGCTCGATTTCTTCTGGCCGGGCATGGCAAAGGAAGTGCGGGATCTCCTGGGGTCGTGCACGCAATGCGCGCGGCGGAAGCCACCAGCTAGGGGGTCCAACCCTCCACTGCAGTCCATAAAGGTTTCCCGGGTTAACGAGCTCGTTGCTCTAGACATACTCGGGCCATTTCCCGCTACACCCAGGGGAAATAGGTATTTATTGACAGGGGTCGAATACTTCACGAGATGGCCTATGGCCTGGCCCCTGGCCAACCAGTCGGCAGCAGCCATCGCGGAGGCCTTTGTCCAGGGCTATGTCCTCGACAAGGGTGCTCCGGAACGGCTGCGTACTGACCAGGGTAGGAATTTTTCGGGAAAACTCCTCCGCGAGGTGTGCGACCTCTTGGGTACGGAGAAAATTCGGACCTCCCCGTATCACCCACAAACTGACGGGATGGTGGAACGGCTGCATCGGACCATCACGTCTATGCTGTCCCAGCAGGTGTCGGAATCCCAGACAGATTGGGACCTTCGCATAGCCGGTGTGTTGCAGGCCTACAGGATGGCTCCCCATGCGGCCACCAGATTTTCCCCTTTCTTTTTAATGTATGGCCGCGAGGCTGACCCCCCTGTGACGACCCAGCTGAAGCTCTCGGCGCCTCAGGCGAAGTCTACCTTGTCCGAACACATTAAATTTAACATCAGCAAATTATCTGAGGCGCGGGAAGCGGCCGTGCAAAATTCTGAACTCCGCCAGAGGGCGAACGAGAGGCTTCGGCTGGGGCGGGTACATGTGTTCAAATGGAAACCAGGGGACAGGGCATGGTTGCACTGTCCCCAGGTGCCGCTGGCAACCTCGTCAAAGTTGGTGCGGCCGTGGCGGGGGCCAGTGGAGGTCGTACCTGTCTTGCGGCCACAATGTGTTCGCGTCAAATGGGGGAGGCGTCGGTGGTACGTGCACCCCTCAAGGTTGAAACCGTTCATCGCGCCGCCCCGTGATTCACACACACACACGCATGGCCAAACGTGTGAGGGTTCCGCCGACTCCCCGACGTCGCTGCTCTCGCCTAACCTGACATCAACTGTTCCGTCTCCAGGTGCAACAGGAGTGACGGGTCCACGCCCGCCAACCCCTCCCGGAGGGGTCGGGGGTCACTCGGCAGCGACGCCAGACTCTCTTGCACCCGGACCGTCGACAAACGCCACTGAGCGTGCCGGGACGGGCCCTTGTGACGGGCCCGCCGCGAGAACGCGCGCCAAAACGCGCAGACTATTGTGAGGTCGGCCGTTGGGGGGCCTTGCGGACAGTGGGGGGGGAGACGGCCGGAGTGCGTGTATATATGTTGGTTTTGGGGAATGGGGTATTCATTCGGGGGGGTGCGTCGGGTTGTATTTTTTTTCTCTCTTCCTGTTGTTGTTCTTGTTATGGTTCTCTTTGTTCTTGTTAAAATTACGCGAGGCACACACACGGTTTTCGGGAGGGATACACCTTTATTCTGATTTTTTTTGCAGCCGGGGACGGCTGCGAGCTGTACAGGGGGGGGTGATGTAGAGGTGTAATTGTGCATGGCCACGGATGTAGAGGTGTAATTGTGCATGGCCACGGATGGCTAACAAACACAAGGGGCGGGGTTACGGCCGTACACAAGGGTGGCGCTCGCACCGACGTCCGCACCTGCATCCCCCACGGGCCCCCCCGGGGGCCGAGTCCTATAAAAGGTGGTGAGCCGGAGGGCTCGAGGTCGGGGATCAGCTTTAACCAGAGAAGAAGGAAGACCTGCTAGAATAGGCCCCAGAGCTCCCCTGGCTCGCTGTCCTTATAAGGGCCGACCAGGGCAAGCCGGTGGCGTGGCCCCGAGAGCCCAGACTGACAAGCCGGTCTGGAGACTCAGGGTGCCGGGATCCCAGCTTGACCAGGCTGGGATAGGTAGCCTCCCCTAGCTCCGTAGTGGAGGACTTGGGCGTAGGTTAGCGGGGTTAGCTGTTGTGTATCCCTGTAGCTAAGTGAAGGGGACGATACCCCGTAAGTACTGTGTGTGCACAAGTTGGTGTAATAAATAAGTGTGCCTCCGACCCTGTCGTCAAGCCTCCTACATACTTACTACAAATACAAGACTGTGGCCCTTCATAATAACGTCACGAAGCAGTTCCATGAAGAGCCCCATGCGAGGCCTGGAGCCACAGGTTGTCGACCCCTGGTCTAGAGAGACTCTTGCCTGCAGATGGGTTTTTAGCATGAGGGGCGTGATGAATGAACCAAGCTTGAGTGTTGTTCATGTTGCTGGTAGACCTGGATATATCCCCATTAGAGCTCCCATCCAATTCCACTTCCAAACGCACGACTGGTTGATCGGTTTCCCTTGGATAGCCATGCTTAGAGGATCATCAATCTACTAAAATATGCGATTTAATCCCCACCTCCGATTTAGCACGGTTGGGCAACGTACGCTGCGAAGAAAGCTCAACACGCACACACGTGAGACGCGTTATCATTATTGTTGGAGCGAAGCGAATCGACCGAGCAATGGCATTACGTTGCGCGCACAAATGGAGACGCCGCGTTCTTCACGTCGGTCGCCACTGCCCCCACCCCGCGCCCCCCCCCCGTCACCTCGCGGTAGGAGTTCTCATAGAGGCAGCCGCACTGGGTGAAGGGGACGCAGTCGAAGCCGCTCATCACGAACCCGGGCAAGCACTGGCAGCCCTCCACGTCGGGGAGCTCGCAGTTCGAAGAAGCGGCCAAGTCCCCGCAGGTGGATGGGCAGGCGGACATGCGCTCGACGTAGACGCTGTTTGCAGGGCACGCCGGTTCTGTGTATGCACACACACACACGCCGGTTCTGTTTATGCACACACACACATGCCGGTTCTGTGTATACACACACACATACGCCGGTTCTGTGTATGCACACACACACACGCCGGTTCTGTTTATGCACACACACACATGCCGGTTCTGTGTATACACACACACACACGCCGGTTCTGTGTATGCACACACACACACGCCGGTTCTGTTTATGCACACACATGCCGGTTCTGTGTACGCACACACACACGCCGGTTCTGTGCATACACACACACACACGCCGGTTCTGTTTATGCACACACACACATGCCGGTTCTGTGTATGCACACACATGCCGGTTCTGTGTACGCACACACACACGCCGGTTCTGTGCATACACACACACACACGCCGGTTCTGTTTATGCACACACACACGCCGGTTCTGTGTATACACACACACACACGCCGGTTCTGTGTATGCACACACATGCCGGTTCTGTGTACGCACACACACACGCCGGTTCTGTGCATACACACACACACACACGCCGGTTCTGTGTACGCACACACACACGCCGGTTCTGTGCATACACACACACACATGCCGGTTCTGTGTACGCACACACACACGCCGGTTCTGTGCATACACACACACACACGCCGGTTCTGTGTACACACACACACACACGCCGGTTCTGTGTATACACACACACACGCCGGTTCTGTGTATACACACACACACGCCGGTTCTGTGTACGCACACACACACACGCCGGTTCTGTGTATACACACACACACACGCCGGTTCTGTGGATACACACACACACATGCCGGTTCTGTGTATACACACGCACATGCCGGTTCTGTGTAATAACACAAAGACAAAGATTCCCCCCCCCACCGTGTAGACTTAACGGAGCTGTTGGGGCAAGTGCCTATGAAGGCCGGCACGGCACACGAAGGGGGTGGATGGCCAGCACCACGCCCAACCGCCTTTGTCTCCCCAGTGGCGATGTTTACACACCGCACCCAAGTACTTATTTGTGGCTGAGTCGACCTAGGGGAGGCCCAGGACCGCTTCAGATAATCCCCACTGGTGTTGGCCGTAAGCAGGAATCGAATTCGGGTCGCCAGGTTCGTAGCGCAGCGCGCTAACCGCTACACCACCGCTACACCACCGCTCCCCACAACACGTAACAACACACGCACACACGTACACACGTAATGACAAGGCAAATGACAGGAGTGCGCACACACAGACACTGCGACACATGCATAACCGATATATTAAGCGTCACACGAGTGGTGATCATGGCAATGATAGTGTTGATTGACCATATTACATGGGAAGTGATAGGGAAAGAGATCGAGAACAAAGGAGAAGGTAGAAGTGGAGAGAGGAAAGGGAGGAAGATGTTGGCATGATGAATGGGGGTGGGGGGAATAGTCCACTGAGTAAGGAATCTATGGAAGGGGAACCAGATGTGTGTGGTGCACGTTAATTACCACTAAAACTATTTAAACTAAAGCATTTATTTTATTTTACCAGGTAAGGCCCACTGAGCTATGTAGCTCTTTTTTCAGAAGTGACCTGGCCACAAATCATAGCTCGATGAAGTAGAGTATAATCACGTGAAAATGTATAACAGCCAAATAGTCGAAACGCCTGATGTTGATTCTAAAAGTGAAGGGAAAAACCGGAGGACTCGTAGAAAAATCCACGCGACCACGAGGAGAGAGACACGCAATCTCTAAATATACAGCAGGCGTCAGGGTCGGGATTGAACCCACGACCTTCCTGTATACCAGGCGAGGTAGTTAATATCTCGCCACCGTGGTGCCTGTAATTGCATCAGAGGTGCCGAGTGACGTCGGTGAGTGAGATCTCACCGCATCCCGTGACATTCCTCCAGCTCCTGGGAGTGATGCTCTGCTGCTGGCAGGCTGCCGCGTAAACCTCCAGGCTGCTGCAGAATGTCTCTCGGTCTCCGATGTTTTCGCACATGTCGTACAAGCAGTTCCTGTGGAAGCACAGCACACGATGCGACGCGCCATAACCACATCTCCACGTCAATGCGCCCGCTGCATGGAAGGGCCCTTGACCGCGCAGTCACCGGGGTTGTTTGACCGCACTGCGCCACACTGGTCAGCGCGAGTTGGTGAGATGGGCAGGTGGGGCCTGGGACCGGTTCAGATGTCCGTTTGCCACTCGTGTGAGCTGTGTCCGCGAACTGAAGCGTAAAGTCGCCAGGTTCACCGTGCAGTGCGCTGACCACCTGGGCCACTTGCTCCACTGGCGTCACTTATCTCAAATTTTGAATGGGTACATTTTTGTCGCCAGTTTCTTGACGGCTTGGATTTTAATATCAAGTTTAACTTGGCTCAATTTTAACAATCTTATCAGATAAATTGTTGTTACTAATTCACAACGAGTAAAGATTCGCAAGCTAATTTACCATTCTAAGAGGATAATTTACAATCTTGATTTGAAGCTTCCATGACTGCAGGAATCCATACTCTGGTTCTTTCGGTAAAATCACGTAAATAGAAAAAAATATTAAAAGAACACGACGTTTTGGTCGCAACACAAGTGTCCGTCATCAGGTGAGAAATAATAATCTGCTGTTGTGGCTTTATATAGGCAAGGGAGGGGTGGAAGGGGTTTTTTGTAGAGTTGTGGCTGCAGGAGTTCACGGGGGAAAGGGGGGGGTGTTTGTGGTGTGCAGGGACGTGTGGGGGCTGGTGAAATTAGCATGTCCATGAGCTTGAATTAGTAAACGAGAACAGCACGGGTGTAAGAGTGAGAATCACGCAGTTAAAGCTTGACGTGGTTTATCACATCCTTCCAATGATTGCTCAATCTGAATCCAGCTTCTCGATTAAAGTTTTGTCTGTGTTTGTATGTCTGGATGGCTTCATGAACAAATCTGTGATAGTAGCCCGAGGGTTTGCAGAGCACCCTAGTCTCGGAGAAAACAATGTCATGTGTGCCTACAGCATTGAAACAATGATCCGCCACCGCCAAGGTGTTGGTTCTACCGTGTTTCAAATCCGCTTTGTGTTCATGAACCCGGTCTGAGACACGTCGCTTCGTTTCACCAATGTAACTGCTGCCGCAGACACAACTCAGCTTATAGACACCAGGACATTGCATGTCCGGAATTACATCCTTCACCGATGGGATCACATCACGAATTTGGTGTACTGTATTGAACCGAAATTGGATCTTGTGTTTGTTCAAGATTTTGGAAATCCTTTTGGTGACCCCTGCTATGTATGGAAAGGTGATGGTTTTGATTGGGTCCTCAGATGGTTATCTACCCATGGTTGGGAATGCAGCTTTGCAGATTGTGCGGTCAGAATGTCCATTCTTCTTGAGGGCTTGGTGTACGTGCTCAAGCTCACTGGCTAGGTGGTGCTGGTCGGAGATGCAACGAGCCCTATGATGGAGTGTTTTGATGAGGGACTTATTCTGGGCTGGATGGTGGTGGGAGTCAGGCTTTAGATAGGAATCCGTGTGGGTGGCTTTCCTATAGATAGAGTGTCCCAACGAGCCATCAGGTCTCTTCTCGATCAAAACATCCGAGAATGGTCATCAAAAGGATTTCCAAAATCTTGAACAAACACAAGATCCAATTTCGGTTCATTACAGTACACTAAATTCGTGATTTCATCCCATCGGTGAGTTGTGTCTGTGGCAGCAGTTACATTGGTGAAACAAAGCGACATGTATCAGACCGGGTTCTCGAACACAAAGCGGATTTGAAACACGGTAGAACCAACACCTTGGCGGTGGCGGATCATTGTTTCAACGCTGTGGGCACACATGACATCGTTTTCTCCGAGACCAAGGTGCTCTGCAAACCCTCGGGCTACCATCACAGATTTGTTCACGAAGCCATCCAGACATACAAACACAGACAAAACTTTAATCGAGAAGCTGGATTCAGATTGAGCAATTATTGGAAGGATGTGATAAACCACGGCAAGTTTTAACTGCTGTGATTTTCACTCTTACACCCGTGCTGTTTTCGTTTACTAATTCAAGCTCATGGACATGCTAATTTCTCCAGCCCCCACCTGTCCCTGCACGCCCCAAACTCTCCCCCCTCTTCCCTGTGAACTCCTGCAGCCACGACTCTACAAAACCCCCCTTGCCCCCCCCCTCCCGTGCCTATATAAAGCCACAACAGCAGATCATTATTTCTCACCTGATGACGGACGCTTGTGTTGCGACCTTTCTATCTACACGACTTTACCGAAAGAACCAGAGAGTAAGGATAATTGACAGTTAAGCTAACTTAAAATTACTGAATTCTAACAATTAAAATTTAACGTCACAACGGCTAAATCGTAATGGCTGAATTATTACCAAAATCTTATAACGTATCTGCATTATAATATTTAAACAATTAAAATGAAACGTCGAATTAACCGAAATCTTATGACGTATCTGCATTCTAACAATTTTAATGTAACGGTGACATGATGCCCCCCACCGTAGGAACTTGACGTTCCACGCCAGATCTCGGCGCTCGCTGCGACTTACGTGAAGTAGTGAGCAGGGGGAACCTCGTCGAGGCATTGCCAAAAGGGCCCCTCGGCCTCCTTCATAATCCCACACGCGGTGGCGCCCAGCAGCTCTGCCAGCTGGCCGGCATCGCAGGACAGGTCAGCGAAGTCCTCCTGCATCCAGGAAGGTGCTTCCCTCCTAGGAGAGCCACGCACCCGCCCGCGTCAGATCACCGCATACCCCCCCCCCCCCCCCCCCCCGCGGTTTAAGCATAGAACAACAACAACAACAACGTGCGTTTAACGTTGGCGCCATGGTAGCTATGAGATGGTAGCTATGAGATGTTAAATGCCCCGCCTTGTATACAGGAGGGCGTGGGTTCGATCCCGACCCTGATGCCTGCTGTATATTTGGAGTTTGCGTGTCTCTCTCATCATAATCATCATCACTGTGGGTAGGAGATGTTAACTACCTCGCTTGGTTTGCAGGAGGCTGTGGGTTCGATCCCGACCCTGACGCCTGCTGCTGTATATGTGGAGTTTGCATGTCTCTCTCCCTGTGGTCACGTGGATTTTTCTCTGGACCCTCCATTTTTTTCTCCACATTTAGAATCAACATCACGCGTTTAGAGTATTTGGCTGCTGCACATTTTCCACGTGATGATAAGCCACTTTGGGTGAGCTATCGTTTGTGGCCAGGTCGCTTCTGAAAAAGAGCTACATAGCTCAAGTAAGCCTTACCTGGTAAAAATAAAAAAAATAGTTTATAGTTTAGTTAAAGATTGCCAGCAAAAAAACCCAAAGGTGCGATCATTAAGCGGCGCCAGCAATGCTCCTCCGCTTTCGCGCTGCGCACGATTCAACGTCTGTGTGATGGCGTTTGTTTTTGGACACCAGGTGAGCCCAAGAGAATGACGCTTCTCTGCCTGCTGGGAAAATTTTACGTCGAAGTCGCAAGTTAAACCTGAACCTTTCCACAGCGATCGCATTTCTAATCCGACGCTCGCCCAACCAAAAGGCTGAGGGGCCGGGTTTGCAATGGTGCATGAGTACAGTAAACAAAATAATCAAAACATTAATCGTTAACACTCCAATATTTCAATCGCCAGTTTCACACGCGGGCTTTCGCAAGCAATATTATCCAAAACAAAGGGTTTGAGTTAGATTGCGTAAATATAAATGCGTCGTTAAACCCGACACCGCCCGACACAGCCAATAGTAAGGTTTGTCACGTAAACAAAACGTGTCAATTAGTTACTAGTTCAGCACATGGGTGTGTTGGAGAGTAACCCGCGATCGAACCCAAAAACCTCTATTATGGATAATATTGGTCGCGAAAGCCTACTACTACTTGTTAAAGTGATTGTTAACACTGCCTTCCAGATGCAAAATGTCTTGCCTCACGGCAGTTATGGAGCGTACGGTCACAGGAAGTTCCTGTTTTTTTATGCTAATGTTGGTCACGTGACCAGGAAGTGACGATGTTAGATTTCCACTGTACCACGCGTGCGTCAGCCATTACACAGATAAGTCAAGATGGCGGCACGCATCGCATCTCAGTGAGACCACAGCCGCACTTGTCCATTGTGGGAGCTTAAGAAGCATTATCTGTAAGTTGTTTATATTCCTATAATATTGGAAATGCTGTTGTAATGTTGGAATGACCGTTATAGCAATGTAAATGCCTTTATGGTGCCGTTAAGTTGTTGTAGTAAATACGAGGCCTAGTTAGTAACGAAGCCTGTGACTTTCCTTATTGTGGATGTTACTTGTGATTTAGTAGGTCGATGTCAGACTTGTGCCTATGTTGCGACCCTGAGAGTGATGACGAAGTATCTCATCCACAGGTTAGTGTTAAGTGTAATGCTGTACATTTGGGGTGCAGTGGGATGAATACACTGTGCCTGTATGCAACGCACCAGCTTGTGCCTTTGTCTAGTTGTTCAGGGGTAATGTGGGGGCCTGGTCCTTCCAGGATCTATTGTTATCTGAGACAATGTTCTGATGCTGTGGTGTTCATTGTGTGGGTGTTTCCGAATTATAACAGATGCTGTATCTGTGTTTTCTCACCAGTTTTACTTGTTACAATCAATAAATGACGATCAGAGTTGGACGGTCATCCTGGCTTCGAGGGTTTATTGAACACATGGTTGTCTACTCGACTAGCGGTGCAACGCAGCGCACAGCGAGGCCGAGATAGTAAAATTATATTCTTCCTGAAGCTCCCAACCAGTGCTGCAGCCAGCTCTCTGCAGCCAAGTAAAAAGATATTCTTCCTGAAGCTCCCAACCAGTGCTGCAGCCAGCTCTCTGCAGCCAAGTAAAAAGATATTCTTCCTGAAGCTCCCAACCAGTGCTGCAGCCAGCTCTCTGCAGCCAAGTAAAAAGATAGTCTTCTTGAAGCTTCCAACCAGCCCTGCAGCCAGCACTCAAGCAGTCAGCCTGCAGCAAGCAACCAGCTCTCAAGCAGTCAGCCTGCAGCAAGCAAGGAACTCTGCAACGAGTCTACATTAAAATCGTGTTGCAAGCATCGCAGCATGGACAGCCACAGTTCATCAGGGAGAGATGCTGAAGAAGATGATTTAAGCAATCCAGGACCTCCCATCCTGCCTCAAGAGGACCAAGGGAGTTCAAGGCCCCAGAGGGAGGTCAGGTTGACGCAACAGGCCTTGGAAAGCTATGAGGCTGAGAAACAGGACCTGGATGCCAGGATACAACGGGCATGGAACCGGGTTGAAGCAGATTTATTTGAAGCTTCAAATGCCTCAGACACAGTGGCCTCAATTCAGCGGGCCATCCAGCGAATAAATGTGAGCAGCTCAAGCTACAAGCTCCTGGCAAATAGATACATCTCCCTCCTGATGAAGGTGAAAACAGATGAGGGCATTGAGGGAGTGCGCAGACAAGAGCACTTCCTTGAACTGCTCGATGATAATGTGCAGGCAGTGATACAAGATGCAATGGACCGTGTGGAGGGCTTAAGAGAGACACGATCTCAGCACTCTGTCTCATCCAGGTCCACCACAAGATCTAAAGCCTCAGCACACTCACATATATCATCTACTGGTATGGCAGCAGCTCAGGCACGCGCCGCAGCAGAAGCAGCAAACGCCCGTATTGCCTACATGGCCGAAGAGGAAGCCATGCTAATTGAAAGGGCTCGTATACAAGAAGAAGCAAGCATAGCAACTGCTGCCGCACGAGAGCAAGAGAGTATATTAGAGGCTACTGCCACACGGAAGAAAATTGAGCTAGATGCTAAGTTAAGCACCCTACAACTCAAAAGGGAAGCAGCTGCTGCAATGGCCCAGGCAGAGGTGCTCGAGGCAGCAGCCAACCTGGATAAGGAAGAGAATTAGAGTGAGTTTGGCACTCAGAAACCTGTCAAGGACCGTGATCAACTCACCAGAAAAAATATTTTGGACTGGTCTGAACAATGCATCAATGCTCCTCCACCAAACCATACTGAACAAACGGTGGACGTTCAGGCATCGCCATCTCCACACCGAATGAACATGAATGCTGTCTACAGGAATGGTGGAAATGCATATCCCACTCTGGCAGTTAGTCGCCAACTCAGCGTCGCGCACGTGGGGTCAGACATGGATGCACCAAGTCAGACCCACATTCCAGACAGTCACATAAGGGGATCCAACCAACGTGATCGAAACCCTTTGGGCCCACAGTCCAACGCCATCGCAAATGACGGCATGCTAGGCAATACAGCCAATAATGCCGCCTCACAAGCGCCAGTATGGACACACCCTGGATCAGCAGGACTAGGAGACTTTGCTAGGTACCTGGCTCACCGCGAACTAATCAACACAGGACTCGTTAAGTTTGATGACCACTCTGAGAACTATCGAGCCTGGAGATCTACCTTCAGGAATGCAATCCGAAATGCAGACATCTCTGCAAGTGAAGAACTCGACCTGTTGGTGAAATGGTTAGGAAATGAGTCTGCAGAGTACGCAAAGAGGATCCGGTCAGCAAACATTGACGACCCTGCCTCAAGCCTGCATGCGGTGTGGGAGAGGCTCGAGGAGTGCTATGGAAGCCCAGAAACCATTGAGAAGGCTCTCTTCAAGAAGTTGCAGAACTTTCCAAAAATCTCTGGTCAAGACAATAAAAGGTTACGGGAGCTTGGAGATCTTTTGATGGAGCTTGAATCAGCCCAGGCTGATCCCTACTTACCAGGTCTCATTTTCTTGAATACCTACCATGGCGTGAACCCCATCGTAGAGAAATTGCCATTTGACGTGCAGGAAAAATGGAGAACAGCGGGTTCAAGATACAAGTCAGAGCATCAGGTTGCATTCCCCCCATTCTCTTTTTTCTCAAAGTTTATCCGCAACCTGGCTAAGACTAGAAATGACCCGAGTTTCATGTTTGGCACCACGGGGATTTCCAGTCCAGATCTCCCAAAAATGGAAAGGACAACGGCGAAACGAGGAACAGCGAGAGTGCCAATTTCCGTACACAAGACTGAGGTCTCTCCTACGACATTCGCAAACTCTGTCCAGGCAACCACCACAAAGAAAAAGATAGAGCATCCAGAGAAGCAATGCCCATTGCATGATAAACCTCACTCCCTCCAGAAATGCCGTGAGTTCAGGAGGAAGCCATTGGAAGAGCGGAAGAACATGCTGAAAGAATTTGGAGTGTGCTTCAAATGCTGTGCTTCTACAAACCACCTTGCAAGGAATTGCAAGGCAGATATCAAGTGCGAGGAATGTGGCAGCGACAAACACGCAACTGCTCTGCACACATTTTACTCGAAACCCAGTAGCACTAAGGCTTCCGATCCTGAAGCAGAGCACGGCGGGGAGCAAGGCGAGACCGCCGCACTCACTTCGTCAATCACAACCAAATGCACAGAAGTCTGTGGAGAAGGCTTCAAAGGAAGATCTTGCTCAAAGATATGCCTCGTCCGAGTCTATCCCAAAGGACATCCTGAAAGGGCAGTAAGGATGTATGCCATAATGGACGACCAGAGCAACAGGTCTTTGGCAAGGTCAGAGTTCTTTGATCAGCTAAGTGTAGGTGGGAATTCCTTTCCATACACGCTCAGAACATGCTCAGGATTGATGGAGACAGCGGGAAGAAGAGCGAGCGGCCTCATGGTGGAAACCATAGATAGCACCATGAAGCTAGCCCTTCCTACGGTGACAGAGTGCAACGAGATACCGGACGACAGGAGTGAGATTCCCACGCCCGAAGTTGCACGTCACCACCCACACCTGAAACCCATAGCAGAGTTCATCCCGCCATTGGATGACGCGGCACAGATTTTACTTATGCTCGGCAGGGACATGCTGAGAGTCCACAAGGTTCGCGACCAACGCAATGGACCTCACGACGCTCCCTACGCCCAGAGACTCGATCTAGGATGGGTCATCGTGGGTGACGTTTGTCTCGATGGGACCCACAAACCAGACCACATTAGCACATTCAGAACGAGTGTGCTCGTGAATGGATGCACGTCGCTCTTCAAACCGTGCCCCAACCACTTCACGCTGAAAGAGAAACTTGGCGAGAGAAGTCAAGGCTGTATTGTGCAGACGTACGAAGAAACCACCACAACTTTGCACGTACATCCACCATCTTCGATGGATTTTGTTCCTCCACGTTTCTCCAAGCCAGTCCTCACTGACAAGAGGAAGCCAAAGACGAAGCCGCTGCTCGTCACTCTGCTGGTGGTCGTGGCGGTGGTTGTTGCGGCCGTGGCCTCTCCGTTCCTAGACCCGGAGCTGTCGTCCGAGTGGGAATCCTGGAAGAAGTTCCACGGCAAGGCCCCACAACCGGACCATACCATCCCAAGGCTTGAGCTGTGTGGAGCGGTTCTTGCTACAGAGGTGGCGGAACTGATCTTAGACGAATTTGACGTCAAACTGGACGCGGTCAAGTTCTACACGGACAGTAAGGTCGTACTAGGCTACATAAACAACCAAACCAGAAGGTTCTACACCTACATCAGCAACCGGGTGGAGCGCATCAGGAGATCGATGCAGCCGGAGCAATGGAATTACGTTCCAACTGACCAGAATCCAGCAGATCTCGCAACTAGGTCCGTCCCTGCATCTCTGCTGAATCAAACCATCTGGCTGACGGGTCCAGCGTTCCTGTTACGACGTGACGTTGGCCCATGTACTACCAAGGAGACCTTTGGAGTCATAGAGCCCGAGTCCGACAAGGAGATTCGTCCTCTAGTGACAACTTTCGTAACAAATGTGCGACCAAGAAGTCCACTGAGTCCACACCATTTTGAACATTTCTCGAAATGGACGACGCTCGTGCGAGCGATAGCACATTTAACGCATATCGCAGACTGCTTCCATCGCCCGATGAGAGGCACCACTGGTAGCTGCAATGGATGGCATTACTGCGCAGTGCCACGCACTGAAGACGAGCTTTCCAGAGCAAGGAAATCAATCTTCCGCTGTGTGCAACAGGCAGCGTATGCAAGTGAGATCAAGGCCATCAACAAGGGAGAAGACCTTCCTAGGGTCAGCACCCTCAGGAAGCTAAACCCCAGGATGGACAAAGACGACTTGCTCAGGATCGGTGGTCGGCTAGGGAATGCAAAATTAGATGAGAATGAACGAAACCCCCTCATAATCCCAAGTCAGAGCCACATCGCAATCTTACTCGTACGCCACTACCACGAGAAGGTCAAGCACCAGGGTCGGCACTTCACAGAAGGAGCAATCCGATCTGCAGGGCTGTGGATCGTTGGAGCAAAGAGGTGCATCACCAGCACAATCCACAAGTGTATCCGGTGTCGCAAGCTACGTGGAAAACAGGAAGAATAGAAAATGGCAGACCTCCCAGCCGATCGACTCAGTGTGGAACCTCCCTTCACCTCTGTAGGGATTGACGTGTTCGGACCGTGGACAGTTATCTCCCGCCGCACCAGAGGAGGGCTCGCGAACAGCAAACGTTGGGCAGTGCTGTTCACCTGTATGAGTACACGAGCAGTGCACATCGAAGTCATCGAGTCCATGGACTCTTCGAGCTTTATAAATGCACCCCGGAGATTCTTTGCCATCAGAGGGCCAGCCAAGCAACTCCGTTCTGATTGTGGAACCAATTTCATAGGAGCATGTAAAGAGCTTAAGATCAATACGGAGAATGTCGAAGATTATTCTGTCAGGAAATACCTTAGTGATCAAGGCTGCACATGGATCTTCAATCCTCCCCACTCTTCGCACATGGGTGGAACCTGGGAACGCATGATCGGGATTGCTCGACGCATTCTCGACTCCATGCTATGTGATGTCGTGTCCACACGGCTCTCTCACGAGGTCTTGACCACTCTCATGGCCGAGGTCTCAGCCATAATTAACTCAAGACCCCTGATCCCCGTCTCAACCGACCCGGAGTCACCATTCATCTTGACTCCTGCTACACTTCTTACCCAGAAGACAGATGTGCTCACAGCACCTACCGAGGAGGCCAGCACTGCAGACCTCTACAGACGTCAATGGAGACAAGTGCAGAGCTTCGCGAACACGTTCTGGCGTCGCTGGAAAAACGAGTACCTTACGACACTCCAAGTGCGCAACAAGTGGCAGTCTAATAGACCAGACATCCAAGAAGGCGACCTCGTCCTACTGAAGGACAACCAAGCCAAACGGAATGAGTGGCCAATGGGCCGCATCCTCAAGTCGATTCCAAGTGCCGATGGAAAAGTTCGAAAGGTCGAGGTTATGATTGCGAAGCAAGGAGTCGCAAGAACTTTCATCAGGCCCATAGTCGAGATAGTACTACTTCTCTCTCGCAAAGATATGGACAAATAAGTCGACCCGTTGAAGTTGTTATACACTTGTTTATGAGATAGGAAATAAATGGTGGTATCTCCTAGATACCAGACGGGGAGTGTCTTGCCTCACGGCAGTTATGGAGCGTACGGTCACAGGAAGTTCCTGTTTTTTTATGCTAATGTTGGTCACGTGACCAGGAAGTGACGATGTTAGATTTCCATTGTACCACGCGTGCGTCAGCCATTACACAGATAAGTCAAGATGGCGGCACGCATCGCATCTCAGTGAGACCACAGCCGCACTTGTCCATTGTGGGAGCTTAAGAAGCATTATCTGTAAGTTGTTTATATTCTTATACTATTGGAAATGCTGTTGTAATATTGGAATGACCGTTATAGCAATGTAAATGCCTTTATGGTGCCGTTAAGTTGTTGTAGTAAATACGAGGCCTAGTTAGTAACGAAGCCTGTGACTTTCCTTATTGTGGATGTTACTTGTGATTTAGTAGGTCGAGTCAGACTTGTGCCTATGTTGCGATCCTGAGAGTGATGACGAAGTATCTCATCCACAGTTTAGTGTTAAGTGTAATGCTGTACATTTGGGGTGCAGTGGGATGAATACACTGTGCCTGTATGCAACGCACCAGCTTGTGCCTTTGTCTAGTTGTTCAGGGGTAATGTGGGGGCCTGGTCCTTCCAGGATCTATTGTTATCTGAGACAATGTTCTGATGCTGTGGTGTTCATTGTGTGGGTGTTTCCGAATTATAACAGATGCTGTATCTGTGTTTTCTCACCAGTTTTACCTGTTACAATCAATAAATGACGATCGGAGTTGGACGGTCATCCTGGCTTCGAGGGTTTATTGAATACATGGTTGTCTACTCGACTAGCGGTGCAACGCAGCGCACAGCGAGGCCGAGATACAAAATAAACAATAAAACTTGAGAAGAAATATGTAAATACCTGTTTATTTCATATTCAACATATAATATACAGGTGGAAAACTTTTCCATGCCAGTTTAAAAATCGTGAAATTGTCAAAAGATGTTTTTTTGTTTTTCCCTGTTGGAAGGCAATGGTAGCTGCTGACGATGGTGGTGGTGGTTATGTGCTTAGTGCGCGCTCGCAGCCATTCTACGAGTGCACTGTAGCTCTCACCTGAACACCCTTTGCTCGTTCGACCTCGCAGGAGCGTGGCGAGCATCGTCGCCAACCCTCCAGCTGTGGCCAAACTCGTCCATGCTCGCAGCCAGCTGCCCGTCGGGAGTCGCCAAATCATCGCTGGCGTTTCCGTTGTAATTGCCGCACAGGCCGCACAGCCGGCTCATGTAAGAGCTGGGCATGACCACATCTGCGGTGGATCGCAACCGCCGGGCAACACACACACGCACACGCGCACAGGGGCGGCGGACACTCGGCAAAAGCGAACGCGTACAGAGACAGCGACGCATTTTGTTTCAAAAACGCAATTTGTTTGTTAGAATTCCCTTTGTGAAGTAGACGCCAATGAACCCTAGTTCCACGTAATTGAGAATGACTCATTGACCGCGTATTATACCCCACTGCCATACTTTGATACCGTAAAAAAGGTATCCCATGATATAGCTGCTCACCCCGAGCAAGAAATGCTCTGATATACATATTGTCTTTGTGCTGCTCGCCTTTTGCCGTTCTCTGCTCTCACACTGGTGATGCTGAGCCCTAAAGAAGGCTGCTGTCTCTGGTGTAGGCCAATCCGTTTAAAAGACAATGCAAATATTATCAGAGCATTTTTGTTTGCATGTTCACCACAAGCACGTGTGGTTAATTCAGACTTGATTCCTTGAAAAAGGTTTCTATTTGGTGTTTGAACATCTTAACACCTCCTGTTTTATTGCCAGAAAGGGTAAAACCTATTATTATATTCTTTGGGTCTTTCGGTAAAGTCACGTAGATAGGTTCCAAAAAATTATAAAATAAACGAAAACCTATATTCTTGGTTCTTTCGGTAAAGTCACGTAGAACGGAAATAATAAAATAATTAAAATATAAAACAAAATTCTCACAACGTTTCGACTGCAACACAAGCTTGCTTGCTTGTGTTGCAAGCTTGCTTGTGTTGCTTGTGTTGCAAGCTTGCTTGTGTTGCAGTCGAAACGTCGTGATAATTTTATTGTTCAATATTTGTATTATTTTATTATTTCCCTTCTACGTGACTTTACCGAAAGAACCAATAATATGAATCCCTGCAGTCACGAAAGCTTTAAATCAAAAGAGAAAACCATTTATTTTCACACTTTAATGCATTTGCAAGTTAGGTTTGTTTAAAACATTTTTTTTAAATCACATTGCCGTCATTTATATAAATGACATTAATCGCCTATCCAGTAGTTTTGCATCGGTGCATTTGGCAGGTGTTGCTGGTATGCAAATCTCTGGAAGGCCTGCAAAGGTACAGTTCTTTTTTACACTGCAGGCTGAAAGAACGCCATAACCACATATACTTCTATTCCCGTGTACAGGTGGTAAAGTTAAATAATAATGTATTTTTATACATACATCACCTTTAATTGAAAGAAAACACTAAGCATTCGATGAGTAAATAAATAAAAACAAGCGACTAAAAATTGCCATACAAGATGAGAGGGCAGATTGCATTGCCACCCTTGACCCTCGTGTGTCCGCGAGAGGGTTGGCCCATGGAGCAAAGGAAGTTCAACATCCATTAAAACACAATGACAGGGCCCAAGTGACGGACATGGCTGGACATGCGGCAAGAAGCCCTGGGGTTGGCCCTCGGAGCAAAGTCTCGTCCTGGGGATTGCAGACAAGACCGGGTGGGGGAATCCCCGCACGACCGCGGGGACTGCGGGATGCAGCGGTGCGGCGCTGACCCATTTCTTGCCCAGAGCCACCACTCGCATGAAGGGGAACATTTTGCTGGAGGGAGAGAGGCCTCCTCTTCAATGCTGCTCAGACGTTTTGGGAGAGATTGGGGAGGGGAGGCGGGGTGCCCACATCCCACTGCACGTGACCAAGGTGTACTCCATTATACTGCTGGTTTTCACAGAGGGAGGTGGGGAGGGGATTTGTGAAACTTGCCAATTGTATCAACTGCCACGCCGGGAGATCGTATAGATTGGGTGGCCTCGATACGGTGGTCCCGTGGTGTGTTCACCGTGAAACACCGCTGTAGCCGCTCCCCTCTCACCACCCCCATCCTCTGATGTATCTACTGAATGTTGAACGCAGCGTATGCAGCCAACGGCTCGGCCGGGCAGGAGTGTAAATCGCCTAAACCCAGGTGGCCGTGCAGCCCCCGCACCTGCGTGCTCCTTGCGGTCAAAGGTCACGGTGAGGCCGGAGTCGGTCCTGAGGATGAACTTGTGAGAGGACTGCTGGATGTGCAGTCCCTCCGCGGGGGTCGCCGGCGGCTTCATCCTCACGCCGTCCACCTGCCGGTCAGCCGCCAAACATCCACACGTGCGCGTGTCCCATTGTGAAGCCGTGCGAACGATCCGTTTTTTTTAACCCACCGCTGGATTAAGGTCTCCCCACACACACAGCGTTGGGCCACTGCTCGCCCCACGGCATGGTAAGGATGGCAATGAACGTAAAAGTCTTCAGCGCACAGCATTCGGATTAAGTTATTAATTTCCCCTGATGATGCGAGGTGCCGCACGCTGGGAGGGGATCGGCGCGCATGGAGTTGCCTCCGTTCCCCCGGGGATGGACGGGAGTTAATTACCGCCCTACGGGACTGTGACAGGTTGACAAGTTCACCAAGCACGTGTGAGTAATCCTTCCAAATTTATTCTCTCCTAAGTGCTCCTCCCTTTCCATCTATAAAAAGAGCTTCATAGCACATCCAATTCCTCCAGTATAAAGCCTCGGAAGTGGAAAAGGAGGGCATAGAGGCACTTCAGGCTGACATCAAAACCCGGTTGGCATCCCTCCGTAGAGCAGAGAACCTACGGAAGCGCAGAAGGAAGAAAGAACAAACTAGAACTCGATTCTATAAAGATCCCTTCAAGTTCCTTAAAAGTCTCTTCACGAAGGAAAAAAGTGGAGTTCTAAAAACAACAAAGAAAGACCTAGAAGAGCACCTGAGAACAACAAACTTTGACTCAAAGCGACATGAACATCTGGCCATCCCATCAGATATCCCACCCATTGAACCCCCGGAACATCATATTGAGACCAGCCCTCCGACATGGAAAGAGGTGGAAAACACAGTTCGAAGGGCAAGAACAGCATCAGCCCCGGGGCCAAATGGAGTCCCGTACAAAGTGTATAAGAACGCACCAGACGTCCTGAGGTTCCTCTGGAGGCTTATGAGAACAGCTTGGCAAAAGAAGATAATACCCAAAGTGTGGCGTAAGGCAGGCGGGGTCCTGATCCCTAAGGAGAAGGATGCAGTGAACATCAGCCAATTCCGCCCAATCTCCTTACTGAATGTCGAGGGTAAAATCTTCTTTAGGATCATTGCCCAGAGGATGGCCGAGTACCTGCAAAGGAATGCGTACGTCGATACATCTGTACAGAAGGCAGGAATATCAGGGTTCTCTGGCTGCTTGGAACATTCCAGCATGATCTGGCACCAGATCCAAATGGCCAAGGTGGAGAAAAGGGACCTCCATGTAGTCTTCCTCGACCTCGCCAATGCATTTGGCTCTGTGCCCCATGAACTCCTGTGGTCTGCCTTCAGATTTTTCCACATACCGGACACCATCACAACCCTGGTGAAGTCGTACTTTCAGGATCTGCAGTTCTGCTTCACCACCTCAGAGTTCACCACCTCATGGCAATGCCTGAATGTAGGTATAATGGCGGGATGTACCATTTCTCCATTGGCATTCATAATGGCAATGGAGGTTATCATCAGATCCTCAAAATGGGTTGCTGGTGGACAGCGAGTCGACTCTGGTTTTCGCCTCCCTCCACTCAGAGCCTACATGGACGACATTACAACATTGACCACCACTGTCCCATGCACCAGGAGACTGCTCAGAAAACTCGAGGAGAACATCAGCTGGGCCCGTATGAAGATTAAACCATCCAAGTCACGCAGCATCTCGATTGTGAAGGGAGTACTCTGTGACCTGAAATTCTTCATCGGAGATGACCAAATCCCAACAGTGTCTGAGCAGCCGGTAAAAAGCCTTGGAAGGTGGTATGATGCAAGCCTGAAGGACAAAGACCAGGTGCAACAGCTGCGCAAAGACATCAGTAGTAGCCTACAGTCCATCGACAACACCCAGCTACCTGGAAAGTTAAAGGCCTGGTGTCTGCAGTTTGGTCTCCTACCCCGGGTGTTGTGGCCCCTAGCAGTGTATGAGGTTCCAATCTCAACAGTGGAGAAGATGGAAAGAGGAGCCACGAGCTACTTAAAGAAGTGGCTCGGAGTTCCACGATGCCTTACCATCATAGGCCTCTATGGAGATGGTGTCCTCAAGCTGCCCCTCACCAGTCTAACCGAGGAATTCAAGTGTGCAAAAACCAGGCTCCAGATGACACTGAATGAATCTCGAGACCCAGTGGTGAGCAACAACGCGCCGACCTTGGCAACTGGGCGCAAATGGAGGCCAGGAAAAGCAGTCCAGGAGGCAACAGCAGCCCTCAGACATGCTGACATTGTGGGTCATGTTCAGCAAGGGAGAGGAGGCCTTGGGCTAACTAGCCGTGCTGCTTGGAGTAAGGCCACTGCACCAGAGCGGCGGAAGATGGTAGTGCAGGAAGTACGCCATCAGGAGGAGGCTGCAAGGTGGGCCAAGGCAGTCTTTCTTGCCAAACAAGGACAGTGGACTCGATGGGACAGTGTGGAGAAGAGGAAGATCAGCTGGAAAGATCTGTGGGCCATGGAAGCGAGGCGGTTGAGCTTTTCCATCAGAGCAACATATGACATCCTTCCAACACCAGTTAATCTTCACCAATGGTATGGTGAAGATCCGGACTGTGCCCTCTGTTCCATGCCAGCCAACCTCAGGCACATTCTTACAGGGTGTAAAACAAGCCTCACCCAAGGACGCTACACTTGGCGTCACAACCAAGTCCTTAAAAACCTTGCGTCCGCCCTGGAGGACAAGCGAGCTGCCACCAACTCCCTACCACCCCCAGCAGCATCACACCCCTTACGGACGACCTTTGTCCGCGAAGGGGCTAAACCACCGAAGAGCGGCTCTACACCAATAGAGCGAGACCAGCTGCGCTTGGCCCGCGACTGGAAAATGCTAGCTGACATTGGCCGGCAACTTGTGTTTCCTCCGGAGATCGCAACCACCACCCTAAGACCTGACATGGTGCTCTGGTCCCGTTCGCTCAAGAAGGTCTTCATCATTGAGCTCACAGTACCCTGGGAGGACTCAGTAGATGAGGCTTATGAGCGAAAACATCTGCGCTATGCTGATCTAGCTGCCGAAGCACGGCATCATGGCTGGAACACAGAAGTCCGACCAGTGGAGGTGGGCTGCAGAGGTTTTGTGGCAACATCTACAACCAGACTGCTTAGAGACCTGGGAATTAAGGGCCAGAGCCAGCGTTCGGCAATCAAAGCTGTATCGGAGGCGGCCGAAGGCAGCAGTCAGTGGCTCTGGATGAAGAGGAAAGACCCCAGCTGGGCCCCAAAGTGAGAGGGCCAGGAGGTATGCAGTCAACAATGCTTGACTCAGGGAGGAGGACGCCCCTGCCATGCATAGTCCCATGGGATGTTGGCTACCAACAACAAGGCAACTCCTATGACTAATTGGGAATGGGACGCAAGCGTAGGATTGATCACCCTGTCGCTGGCCGCCTTTGGGGAGGGTGTATAGTATGAAAGGCCGAAACACCCTAGGACCCAAAGGTTCACTACTGACGATGCGCTCCCCAAATTTCACCAGGCTCACTGTTCATGAACTCTTGGAAGTGCTTGCACAAAGGATAGTAACATCTCATCCTGTGTTCTTTGGAATCATATTTAGATTCTGATTCCCTTTTACATTCTCCTCTACCAGCTCCCCCCACTCCCTCCACTCCCTTTCTTAAGTCCTTTATCCCTCTCTTTCCCCGTCTCATAAAAGAGTACAATACGCACCCCGCTCTCGCGGTCACCACTCGGTAGGGCAGCAGCGAGCACAATCTCCCACCTTCCTCTAAATTCAGTAGCACAGCGTTCGGGGACTTCTGTCTGCGGAGTTTCTGTAACCCCCCCCCCCCAACCACGTCACGGTTTATGCTGTGTACCGGGCTCCTTATTGGAAAAAGAATTATAACTGATTTCCCCAAGATGGAGTAGCAGGTGGGACCCCCTCCCTCCTCCTCCTCCCCCACCCCCTCCTCGTCCCCATCCTCCCTTCTCCCCACCCCCCTCCTCCCCACCCACCCCCCTCCTCCTCCCGCTCCTCACCTCCCCTCCTCCTCCCCCCTCCTCGTCACCTGGAAGTCGTTCCTCTTGGTGAAGCGGACATCGTGTCCCAGCACGAAGACGCGCACCTCGGCCAGGTACGACACCGCCTGGTTCCCGCGCCGCTCGTTGCGCCCGTGCACGCGCACCCGCGCCAGGCCCCCGTCGTCCCCGCCGCAGCTCTGCGCCAGCACGTACGTCTCCTCGCCCATGAAGTGGTAGAGGCGCCCGTCGAACGACTGGTAGTGGGGGTCTCCGGAGACCGTGCACGTCCCGTAGCCTGGGCCACGCGCGCACGCACGGAGCAGCGTGCAGGGGTCGCTTTTTTACCACTAGTTTCGTGGAGCCTGTCTCCGCAAGGCAAAAGTTTTCTATGAATATAATAATTAACCTGATATGATATGTTTTTACAATTTGTATCTACGATCCAAACAGTTGTATTTTTCCGCAAAAAAATACAATTTGACTTGATTCAACTTGTTATATTTAAAGACGTCCCCATTGGAAACCGCTCAATGTTAAGATTCCATGTTTTTTTTAGAAAGAACTAAAATTAATGGGGAGGTGTGTCAAGAGCCGGCACTTCGTGCTCGAGTGCCGTGGTCCACGCGGGAGCGGGCTAAACCCGCCGCCCACGGCGTCGGGAGCGGCTCTTCTCTTCACTGTTGAACCACCTCGTTCGTTGTTTTTTCCCCTGTGTTTGTACAGTTTTTTATTCTTTCATTTAGCTTAAATGCATTGGGGAGTAATATTAATCAGTGAATCGGTGCATTGCTACATGCACGGAAGCTACCATACCTCGGAGGGCTGTGAAGAACTCAACACATTCGTCAATAACAAAGAATCTTCCCTGGCCATTGTATAGAAGGCATTAATTCATTCATTCATTCCACGTGATTGTGCATTCATGAATCTGCTCCGTAGCGTAAACGGTCGTCCGTAAAAACCCAGGCACGTCGCAGCGCCATTGTACCGCAAACGAACGAGCGCCCCGCTGCAGACTCACCGATCGGTTTGCAGATGTAATTCCCGTCCTTGAGCTCGCAGGTTTCGCCCATGGTGCAGCCGTGCGTAGAGCACCGCACCGCGCCCAACGCCTCGCACGTGCAGCTCGCACCGCAGTCGTCCGTGAGCCACGACTCCCCAAACTGTGGCGCACAGAGACCACGGCTTAGCCCACACTCACCACTCACTCAGCTCACACTCGCCACTCAGCTCCCACTCGCACTCACCACTCACTCAGCCCACACTCACCACTCAGCTCCCACTCACCACTCACTCAGCTCACACTCGCACTCACTCAGCTCACACTCGCCACTCACTCAGCTCACACTCACCACTCACTCAGCTCACACTCGCCACTCAGCTCCCACTCGCACTCACCACTCACTCAGCCCACACTCACCACTCAGCTCCCACTCACCACTCACTCAGCTCACACTCGCACTCACTCAGCTCACACTCGCCACTCACTCAGCTCACACTCACCACTCACTCAGCTCACACTCACCACTCACTCAGCTCCTACTCGCCACTCACTCAGCCCACACTCACCACTCAGCTCACACTCACCACTCACTCAGCTCCCACTCGCACTCACTCAGCTCACACTCACCACTCACTCAGCCCACACTCACCACTCACTCAGCTCCCACTCGCACTCACTCAGCTCATACTCACCACTCACTCAGCTCACACTCACCACTCACTCAGCTCCTACTCGCCACTCACTCAGCCCACACTCACCACTCACTCAGCTCACACTCACCACTCAGCTCCTACTCGCCACTCACTCAGCTCACACTCACCACTCAGCTCACACTCACCACTCACTTAGCTCCCACTCACCACTCACTCAGCTCCCACTCACCACTCACTCAGCTCGCACTTACCACTCACTCAGCTCCTACTCACCACTCACTCAGCTCCCACTCGCCACTCACTCAGCCCACACTCACCACTCACTCAGCCCACACTCACCACTCACTCAGCCCACACTCACCACTCAGCTCCTACTCGCCACTCACTCAGCTCACACTCGCACTCACTCAGCTCATACTCGCACTCACCACTCAGCTCCCACTCGCACTCACCACTCACTCAGCTCACACTCACCACTCACTCAGCCCACACTCACCACTCACTCAGCCCACACTCACCACTCACTCAGCTCACACTCACCACTCACTCAGCCCACACTCACCACTCACTCAGCCCACACTCACCACTCACTCAGCCCACACTCACCACTCACTCAGCTCACACTCACCACTCACTCAGCTCCCACTCACCACTCACTCAGCTCCCACTCACCACTCACTCAGCTCCCACTCGCCACTCACTCAGCCCACACTCACCACTCACTCAGCCCACACTCACCACTCACTCAGCCCACACTCACCACTCAGCTCCTACTCGCCACTCACTCAGCTCACACTCGCACTCACTCAGCTCATACTCGCACTCACCACTCAGCTCCCACTCGCACTCACCACTCACTCAGCTCACACTCACCACTCACTCAGCCCACACTAACCACTCACTCAGCCCACACTCATCACTCACTCAGCTCACACTCACCACTCACTCAGCCCACACTCACCACTCACTCAGCCCACACTCACCACTCACTCAGCCCACACTCACCACTCACTCAGCTCCCACTCGCACTCACTCAGCTCATACTCACCACTCACTCAGCTCCTACTCACCACTCACTCAGCTCACACTCACCACTCACTCAGCTCCTACTCGCCACTCACTCAGCCCACACTCACCACTCACTCAGCTCACACTCACCACTCAGCTACTACTCGCCACTCACTCAGCTCACACTCACCACTCAGCTCACACTCACCACTCACTTAGCTCCCACTCACCACTCACTCAGCTCCCACTCACCACTCACTCAGCTCCCACTTACCACTCACTCAGCTCCTACTCACCACTCACTCAGCTCCCACTCGCCACTCACTCAGCCCACACTCACCACTCACTCAGCCCACACTCACCACTCACTCAGCCCACACTCACCACTCAGCTCCTACTCGCCACTCACTCAGCTCACACTCGCACTCACTCAGCTCATACTCGCACTCACCACTCAGCTCCCACTCGCACTCACCACTCACTCAGCTCACACTCACCACTCACTCAGCCCACACTCACCACTCACTCAGCCCACACTCACCACTCACTCAGCTCACACTCACCACTCACTCAGCCCACACTCACCACTCACTCAGCCCACACTCACCACTCACTCAGCCCACACTCACCACTCACTCAGCTCACACTCACCACTCACTCAGCTCCCACTCACCACTCACTCAGCTCCCACTCACCACTCACTCAGCTCCCACTCGCCACTCACTCAGCCCACACTCACCACTCACTCAGCCCACACTCACCACTCACTCAGCCTACACTCACCACTCAGCTCCTACTCGCCACTCACTCAGCTCACACTCGCACTCACTCAGCTCATACTCGCACTCACCACTCAGCTCCCACTCGCACTCACCACTCACTCAGCTCACACTCACCACTCACTCAGCCCACACTAACCACTCACTCAGCCCACACTCATCACTCACTCAGCTCACACTCACCACTCACTCAGCCCACACTCACCACTCACTCAGCCCACACTCACCACTCACTCAGCTCCCACTCGCACTCACTCAGCTCATACTCACCACTCACTCAGCTCCTACTCACCACTCACTCAGCTCACACTCACCACTCACTCAGCTCCTACTCGCCACTCACTCAGCCCACACTCACCACTCACTCAGCTCACACTCACCACTCAGCTACTACTCACCACTCACTCAGCTCACACTCACCACTCAGCTCACACTCACCACTCACTTAGCTCCCACTCACCACTCACTCAGCTCCCACTCACCACTCACTCAGCTCCCACTCACCACTCACTCAGCTCCCACTCACCACTCACTCAGCTCCCACTCGCCACTCACTCAGCCCACACTCACCACTCACTCAGCCCACACTCACCACTCACTCAGCCCACACTCACCACTCAGCTCCTACTCGCCACTCACTCAGCTCACACTCGCACTCACTCAGCTCATACTCGCACTCACCACTCAGCTCCCACTCGCACTCACCACTCACTCAGCTCACACTCACCACTCACTCAGCCCACACTCACCACTCACTCAGCCCACATTCACCACTCACTCAGCTCACACTCACCACTCACTCAGCCCACACTCACCACTCACTCAGCCCACACTCACCACTCACTCAGCCCACACTCACCACTCACTCAGCCCACACTCACCACTCACTCAGCTCACACTCACCACTTACTCAGCCCACACTCACCACTCACTCGGCCCACACTCACCACTCACTCAGCCCACACTCGCCACTCACTCAGCCCACACTCACCACTCACTCAGCTCACACTCACCACTCACTCAGCCCACACTCACCACTCACTCAGCCCACACTCACCACTCACTCAGCTCACACTCACCACTCACTCAGCCCACACTAACCACTCACTCAGCCCACACTCATCACTCACTCAGCTCACACTCACCACTCACTCAGCCCACACTCACCACTCACTCAGCCCACACTCACCACTCACTCAGCCCACACTCACCACTCACTCAGCTCCCACTCGCACTCACTCAGCTCATACTCACCACTCACTCAGCTCCTACTCACCACTCACTCAGCTCACACTCACCACTCACTCAGCTCCTACTCGCCACTCACTCAGCCCACACTCACCACTCACTCAGCTCACACTCACCACTCAGCTACTACTCGCCACTCACTCAGCTCACACTCACCACTCAGCTCACACTCACCACTCACTTAGCTCCCACTCACCACTCACTCAGCTCCCACTCACCACTCACTCAGCTCCCACTTACCACTCACTCAGCTCTACTCACCACTCACTCAGCTCCCACTCGCCACTCACTCAGCCCACACTCACCACTCACTCAGCCCACACTCACCACTCACTCAGCCCACACTCACCACTCACTCAGCCCACACTCACCACTCACTCAGCCCACACTCACCACTCAGCTCCTTCTCGCCACTCACTCAGCTCACACTCGCACTCACTCAGCTCATACTCGCACTCACCACTCAGCTCCCACTCGCACTCACCACTCACTCAGCTCACACTCACCACTCACTCAGCCCACACTCACCACTCACTCAGCCCACACTCACCACTCACTCAGCTCACACTCACCACTCACTCAGCCCACACTCACCACTCACTCAGCCCACACTCACCACTCACTCAGCCCACACTCACCACTCACTCAGCCCACACTCACCAATCACTCAGCTCACACTCACCACTTACTCAGCCCACACTCACCACTCACTCAGCCCACACTCACCACTCACTCAGCCCACACTCGCCACTCACTCAGCCCACACTCACCACTCACTCAGCTCACACTCACCACTCACTCAGCCCACACTCACCACTCACTCAGCCCACACTCACCACTCACTCAGCTCACACTCACCACTCACTCAGCTCACACTCACCACTCACTCAACCCACACTCGCACTCACTCAGCTCACACTCACCACTCACTCAGCTCACACTCACCACTCACTCAGCCCACACTCGCCACTCACTCAGCCCACACTCGCCACTCACTCAGCCCACACTCACCACTCACTCAGCCCACACTCACCACTCACTCAGCCCACACTCGCCACTCACTCAGGTCACACTCACCACTCACTCAGCCCACACTCACCACTCACTCAGCCCACACTCACCACTCACTCAGCCCACACTCACCACTCACTCAGCCCACACTCACCACTCACTCAGCTCACACTCACCACTCACTCAGCCCACACTCACCACTCACTCAACTCACACTCACCACTCACTCAGCTCACACTCGCACTCACTCAGCTCACACTCACCACTCACTCAGCTCACACTCACCACTCACTCAGCTCACACTCACCACTCACTCAACTCACACTCACCACTCACTCAGCTCACACTCGCACTCACTCAGCCCACACTCACTCAGCTCACACTCACTCAGCTCACACTCACCACTCACTCAGCTCACACTCGCACTCACTCAGCTCACACTCACCACTCACTCAGCTCACACTCACCACTCACTCAGCTCACACTCGCACTCACTCAGCTCACACTCGCACTCACTCAGCTCACACTCACCACTCACTCAGCTCACACTCGCACTCACTCAGCTCCTACTCGCCACTCACTCAGCTCACACTCACGACTCACTCAGCTCCCACTCACCACTCACTCAGCTCACACTCACCACTCACTCAGCTCCCACTCGCCACTCACTCAGCTCACACTCACCACTCACTCAGCCCACACTCGCCACTCACTCAGCTCACACTCGCCACTCACTCAGCCCACACTCGCCACTCACTCAGCTAACACTCGCCACTCACTCAGCTCATACTCGCACTCACTCAGCTCACACTCACCACTCACTCAGCCCACACTCGCCACTCACTCAGCCCACACTCGCCACTCACTCAACCCACGCTCGCTACTCACTCAGCTCACACTCGCCACTCACTCAGCCCACACTCCCCACTCACTCAGCTAACACTCGCCACTCACTCAGCCCACACTCGCCACGCACTCAACCCACACTCAACACTCACTCAGCCCACACTCGCCACTCTCTCAGCCCACACTCGCCACTCACTCAGCCCACACTCGCCACTCACTCAGCTCCCACTCGCCACTCACTCAGCCCACACTCGCCACTCACTCAACCCACACTCGCCACTCACTCAGCCCACACTCCCCACTCACTCAGCTCACACTCGCCACTCACTCAGCCCACACTCACCACTCACTCAGCTCACACTTGCCACTCACTCAGCCCACACTCGCCACTCACTCAGCCCACACTCGCCACTCACTCAGCCCACACTCGCCACTCACTCAGCTCACACTCGCCACTCACTCAACCCACACTCGCCACTCACTCAGCTCACACTCGCCACTCACTCAGCTCACACTTGCCACTCACTCAACCCACACTCGCCACTCACTCAGCTCACACTCGCCACTCACTCAGCTCACACTCGCACTCACTCAGCCCACACTCGCCACGCACTCAACTCACACTCACCACTCACTCAGCCCACACTCGCCACTCACTCAGCCCACACTCACCACTCATTCAGCTCACACTCGCCACTCACTCAACCCACACTCGCCACTCACTCAGCCCACACTCGCCACTCACTCAACCCACACTCGCCACTCACTCAGCTCACACTCGCCACTCACTCAGCTCACACTCACTCAGCTCACACTTACCACTCACTCAGCCCACACTCACCACTCACTCAGCCCACACTCGCCACTCACTCAGCCCACACTCGCCACTCACTCAGCCCACACTCACCACTCACTCAGCCCACACTCGCCACTCACTCAGCCCACACTCGCCACTCACTCAGCCCACACTCGCCACTCACTCAGCTCACACTCACTCAGCTCACACTCACCACTCACTCAGCCCACACTCACCACTCACTCAGCCCACACTCACCACTCACTCAGCCCACACTCGCCACTCACTCAGCCCACACTCGCACTCACTCAGCTCACACTCACCACTCACTCAGCCCACACTCGCCGCTCACTCAGCTCCCACTCGCCACTCACTCAACCCACACTCGCCACTGACTCAGCTCCTACTCGCCACTCACTCAGCTCCCACTCGCCACTCACTCAACCCACACTCGCTACTCACTCAGCTCCTACTCGCCACTCACTCAGCTCCCACTCGCCACTCACTCAACCCACACTCGCCACTCACTCAACCCACACTCGCCACTCACTCAGCCCACACTCACCACTCACTCAGCTCACACTCACCACTCACTCAGCCCACACTCACCACTCACTCAGCCCACACTCACCACTCACTCAGCCCACACTCACCACTCACTCAGCTCACACTCACCACTCACTCAGCTCCCACTCACCACTCACTCAGCTCCCACTCACCACTCACTCAGCTCCCACTCACCACTCACTCAGCTCCCACTCGCCACTCACTCAGCCCACACTCACCACTCACTCAGCCCACACTCACCACTCACTCAGCTCACACTCGCCACTCACTCAGCCCACACTCGCCACTCACTCAGCCCACACTCGCCACTCACTCAGCCCACACTCGCCACTCACTCAGCCCACACTCGCACTCACTCAGCTCCCACTCGCCACTCACTCAACCCACACTCGCTACTCACTCAGCCCACACTCGCCACTCACTCAGCCCACACTCCCCACTCACTCAGCTCACACTCGCCACTCACTCAGCTCACACTTGCCACTCACTCAACCCACACTCGCCACTCACTCAGCTCACACTCGCCACTCACTCAGCTCACACTCGCACTCACTCAGCCCACACTCGCCATGCACTCAGCTCACACTCACCACTCACTCAGCCCACACTCGCCACTCACTCAGCCCACACTCACCACTCATTCAGCTCACACTCGCCACTCACTCAACCCACACTCGCCACTCACTCAGCCCACACTCGCCACTCACTCAGCCCACACTCGCCACTCACTCAGCCCACACTCGCCACTCACTCAGCCCACACTCGCCACTCACTCAACCCACACTCGCCACTCACTCAGCTCACACTCGCCACTCACTCAGCTCACACTCACTCAGCTCACACTCACCACTCACTCAGCCCACACTCGCCACTCACTCAGCTCACACTCGCCACTCACTCAGCTCACACTCACTCAGCTCACACTCACCACTCACTCAGCCCACACTCACCACTCACTCAGCTCACACTCGCCACTCACTCAGCCCACACTCGCCACTCACTCAGCTCACACTCGCCACTCACTCAGCCCACATTCACCACTCACTCAGCCCACACTTACCACTCACTCAGCCCACACTCACCACTCACTCAGCTCACACTCGCACTCATTCAGCTCACACTCGCCACTCACTCAGCTCACACTCGCCACTCACTCAGCCCACACTCACCACTCACTCAGCTCCCACTCACCACTCACTCAGCTCCCACTCACCACTCACTCAGCTCCCACTCACCACTCACTCAGCTCCCACTCGCCACTCACTCAGCCCACACTCACCACTCACTCAGCCCACACTCACCACTCACTCAGCTCACACTCGCCACTCACTCAGCCCACACTCGCCACTCACTCAGCCCACACTCGCCACTCACTCAGCCCACACTCGCCACTCACTCAGCCCACACTCGCACTCACTCAGCTCCCACTCGCCACTCACTCAACCCACACTCGCTACTCACTCAGCCCACACTCGCCACTCACTCAGCCCACACTCCCCACTCACTCAGCTCACACTCGCCACTCACTCAGCTCACACTTGCCACTCACTCAACCCACACTCGCCACTCACTCAGCTCACACTCGCCACTCACTCAGCTCACACTCGCACTCACTCAGCCCACACTCGCCATGCACTCAGCTCACACTCACCACTCACTCAGCCCACACTCGCCACTCACTCAGCCCACACTCACCACTCATTCAGCTCACACTCGCCACTCACTCAACCCACACTCGCCACTCACTCAGCCCACACTCGCCACTCACTCAGCCCACACTCGCCACTCACTCAGCCCACACTCGCCACTCACTCAGCCCACACTCGCCACTCACTCAACCCACACTCGCCACTCACTCAGCTCACACTCGCCACTCACTCAGCTCACACTCACTCAGCTCACACTCACCACTCACTCAGCCCACACTCGCCACTCACTCAGCTCACACTCGCCACTCACTCAGCTCACACTCACTCAGCTCACACTCACCACTCACTCAGCCCACACTCACCACTCACTCAGCTCACACTCGCCACTCACTCAGCCCACACTCGCCACTCACTCAGCTCACACTCGCCACTCACTCAGCCCACATTCACCACTCACTCAGCCCACACTTACCACTCACTCAGCCCACACTCACCACTCACTCAGCTCACACTCGCACTCATTCAGCTCACACTCGCCACTCACTCAGCTCACACTCGCCACTCACTCAGCCCACACTCACCACTCACTCAGCTCACACTCGCCACTCACTCAGCCAACACTCACCACTCACTCAGCCCACACTCGCCACTCACTCAGCCCACACTCGCACTCACTCAGCTCACACTCACCACTCACTCAGCCCACACTCACTCAGCTCACACTCACTCAGCTCACACTCGCCAGTCACTCAGCCCACACTCACCACTCACTCAGCCCACACTCACCACTCACTCAGCTCACACTCGCACTCACTCAGCTCACACTCGCACTCACTCAGTCCACACTCACCATGGTCGATCCACTGCTAGACAAAGGCCTCCCCAAGCCACCAACCACCTCTCTCATGACAACAACAATAATAATAATTTTCGATTTAAAGCTTTCGTGACTGCAGGGATTCATCTTATTGGTTCTTTCGGTAAAGTCACATAGAAGGGAAGTAATAAAATAATAAAATAATAAAAATGTATTATTTTTATTTTTATTATTTTATTACTTGCCTTCTACGTGACTTTACCGAAAGAACCAAGAATAATAATAATGATCACAGTTTATAACCCCGGGCTTTCCGCTCATTGGAGGACACTGTCTTCAAATGAGCCTGCTTGAAACAGCCCCATGATCCACAGCATGGGTGCCCTCCTCTGCAAAACGCTGGCCAGCTGCGTTCACGGTAGTGTCTTCCCAACAAGTCGGGACGTGCGGAGTGGACTATGTGGACTGCGTGGACCACGCGGACCGAGCAGCCTCACTACGCACCGAGTGGTAGTTGTTTTCGTCGTCCCGGCAGCCGCAGGCTTCCAGCGACACGCAGAGATCGTCACTAAGCACGAAGCCCTGGTCGCAGACGCAGCCCTCAGAGCACCGAGCCGCGCTCTGGCAGCTGGCTACGGCGTCGATGTCCGAGCAAGTGGCCGGGCAGGGCGAGGCGCACGGCGTGTAGTGGGTGTTCGGCGGGCACGACGGCGCTGTGAGACGAAGGGACAGAACCTCCGATTAGCACGTTCGGGAAACGTACGGTGCGAAAGAAGTTCAAAGCGCATCAGATATCTCCAGGATAAATAAAGATTCCGATTTACGACTTAACACCCTACTCATTAGATCCTGAACGCAACTATTTGGCAAGATATCGGGCACATACATTCACCAAACAACGAACCACACACTCGCCCTTTAGATTTTAACTCGCGACCTTCCGATTGCGAGCCGCTCTCTCTACCGCTGAGCCGCTCGGTTCACCGTACATACGTGGAATCATGCACTCGCCACAAGCTAAACTAAACTATTTAACTATTATACTCTTTGGTTCTTTTGGTAAAGTCACGTAGATAGGAAAATATATAATAGATCACGACGTTTCAATCGCAACAACAAGCAATCGTCTTCAGGTGAGAGAGAGAAGCATGCCGTTGTGACGAGGCATTATATAGATCCGAGAGGGGGGATGGAGGGGAGGCCGTAATGGGCGAGAGGGTGGGGGTGAAATTCAATATACTTCACTTTTTTATTTTACCAGGGAAGGTCCATTGAGCTGTATAGCCATTCTTTCAGAAGCGACCTGGCACCACAAATGATAGCTCAACGAAGTGGCTTATCACGTAGAAATGTATACCGGCAGCTCAATACTCTAAACGCGTAATATTGATTCTAATTGTGCTGGGGAAAAACCAGAGGATCTAGAGAAAAATTCAGGCAACCACAGGGAGAGAGAGACAGATGCCAACTCCAAATATACAGCAGGCATCGTCAGGGGTCGGGATCGAACCCACGAACTCCTTCATACCAGGCGAGGTTGTTAACACCTCCTAAACCATGAATCGCACAGACTCACGGCAGAAGGTTTCGTTGCGCCACAGGACGTCGATGTTCTCGGCGCGACAGGCCTCCGCGTAGGCCTGCAGGATGTGGCACAGCGTGCTCTCCATGCCGCCGTACTGACACACGTCGAAGACGCACGACTGGAAGAAGATGGCCGGATCAACGACGTCGTGGCAGCTGGCAAAGGGTCCAGAGGAGGAGACGATGATTTTGCACATCCTCCCGTAGAGTTCCTCGTCGGCTGCATCGCATCCGTCAGGAGTTGCGGCCGGCTGGCACCTGCGATGGGAGGATTGAAAATCCACAAAGAGGCGATGCTACAGGTCAATTGGACAGGCGTTGTTTGTACAGTGTGACCGCCTTGGCGGATTCTGATATCACTGTGCCGCGTACAATGCACACTCACACAACCGTCAAGTCATGGCGAAGCTTTGGAGCCAGCGGGCAGATTGAAGAAGGGCTGTAAATTATTTCATATTTTTTCAAACGATCTTCCTAACAAGGTCCATGTCCAGTTACTGTGAATTTTCAACGCACGCCTCTGATCTCATCTATAGCTCCCTGTGAGTTGAGACAAGGAAAATGACCCACGGGATTTAATCCTGGTTGCAAAGATGCTTTTTTGTGTTTGGTTTCTTGTCCTTCACCGCACGAGAGAACAGCCCGCGGAAGGGACTAGCATAGAACTACTTTTGAGATCCCTTCAAGATGACCTTAGATTAATTATCATAGCTGGAATTGAGAAAAAATTACGTGACATCAGATTTAACGTGAGGTTTTTTCATGCCGTTATTGGCGACTGGGTTGAGACACTCAAAGTGGAATTCAAACCCGGAACTCAGAAGTTCCCAACTCGGCGATGTGACCCTTGGGTCAACAGACCACCTGAGTTAACCTGGGAGAATCTCGGGACAAGTTCTGAAACGAATCGCTGACATTAGCCGTGGCAAACGTAGAATGGCGAGCGAAGTTGAATATTCCTGATGTGGTCTGTATTTTAGCAGGGATGGCTACGTACGGCACGAATAAAGTTCAACAAAGATCAGATTTTAGCTGGGCAAAAACCCCGGGGCCGGCTCCTGGACACGCTGGTGGGACTACATCGCTCGGCTGGCCTGGGAACGCCTGCGAATTCCCCAGGAAGAGCTAGTCTGTGTATAGTAGTGTAAAGTCTATAGTAGTGTTTAGTGCAGTAGTGTAGTGTATAGCAGTGTAGTAGAGTGTATAGAAGTGTATAGTGTAGTGTATAGTAGTGCAGTAAATAGTAGTGTAGTAGTGTATAGTTTTTAGTAGTGGAAACTAGAGTTTATCGCCAGAACGAACAAACCATCTCCATGGATGCTCTCCAGAAAGAGGGGCCTGCTAAATCACGCCAGCCTACATTCCACTCCTACAGATGACTAGCGTTCTCATAACGAGATCCAACGAAAAAAATTGCCTCATTAACTGACGCTATTCAAAGAGAGGCCTAAACAAGGATGTCCTTATAACAACAGAAACACCCCCATCTCTATGAAGGACATTCCGGTGGTTAAACAGAGCCATCTGTTTAAACCTGGCACTACTCAGCTTCTATATGATCAGTGGCGCTGCCAGAACGGATACTGCAGGTGGCTAGAAGATGTTAACTATCTCGCAATGTATGTAGGAGGTCATCAGTTCGATCCCAACCCCAAAGCTTGTATATTTGGACTTTGCGGTGTCTCTCCCCCAGTGGTTGTGTGGATTTATCTCCACGTCCTCTGGTTTTTCCCTCCATGTTTAGACACAACATCACGCGTTCAGAGTTATTTGGCTGCTGATAGAAATTTCCACAATGATGATGACGATAAGCTACTTCGTTGAGCTATCATTTGTGATGGCCCAGATTGTTTCTGAAAAAGAGATACGTAGCTCCGTGGAGACCTTACCTGGTAAAATAAAAATAAAATAATAATCGCACTGAGCTTTTATTGGATCTATTGGGAAGTGCGGTCCTGGAAAATAACTTTTCTTGATGTGCCTGCTCATATTGGGCTCATCTGCCCACGGGTGTTGCTGCTGTTCACCAAACGTAGCCCCGATGATCAGTTTTATCGTTTGGATTACAGATTGACATTTTTAATAAACGAAATCAATTTTTCTTTAATTCCATTCTAAAAATGACAGGCATTGAAGAAGCCGCCACTGCATCATTTTCCGGCCCAGGTTGCTCAGCTGTAGAGCGAGCGGCTCGCAATCAGAAGGGTCGTGGGTTAAATCAGCCCATCATCCGTTCGGGTCATTAAAATAAATTCTGCTTGGTGGGTAAGTCAAGAGTAGCAGCCCTATGGATAGATAGACTCGTCCCCGCCACAATAAATGGGTAACTTTCGGAGCCGAGAAACAGGAGGTCGCCACCTCGATGCTCACTCGGAGCGCGAAGTCGCTCTCGACAATCGTCCGTGCAACGAGGCCACAATTCTGCACCCCCCGGCTCCCTCTCACCCGGCGTCCGTGTCGCCCACGGCCCTCCAGCTGTCGCCGAGTAGCGCGGTGCTGGGCGCCGGTTCCCCGTTGGGCATCAGGTCGTCGTCGTTGAGATTCCCGTTGTAATTGCCGCACATGCCACAGACCTGCGGGGAAAAAAAGGGCTCAGGTCAAGAAGTCGCAGCTCAGGTTCATGCCGCGGTGCGTCTAGTTCGTTGACCTTCCCCCCCCCGTCCCCCGGCGGCGCCTCCGATTAGCACGGTTAGCTACGTACGAGGGTGCGAAAGAAGTTCAACGTACATCTCCTCCAATAGATTTCCAGTTGATTATCGATTATCCGGCGGCTTCGGTGGGAGTGCTGGATTTTTAACAACGCTGGATAATCACTACATGATTGTTACTTAAAATAGCGTATTAATTCCGCATTTTTGTAAGACATGTTTTTGGTTGTTTTTCTTTGTGTTTTAAATTTGTTTACGGTGTGAAATTGGCATAAACAAACGTACAAATATAAAAAAATAAATATGCAACTTTAAAAAGTTACCGTATTTAATATACCGTGATTACCGCTCCAATCTCGAAGACTCTGCATGGGGTTATGTAAATATACGTGCAGTGTTTTCATTATTTAAGTTGTATGTAGTGTATAATGTACTGTATATAATATTTAACACTGAAAAAAAACCACGGTGCCGATCGCCGGACTGGTTACAGCCTTTGCAACGGTTTTGCCGGTTTCCCCGGATCAGCCCGGGACTGCCGGATAATGTTGGAAGCCGGATAATCGATGACCAACTGTACATCTGTACTGAATGTGTGAGTGGGTGGCGGATTTGTAAACAGTGAAGCACAGGCGTTGCCCAGCACCTTGCGGGAGTAAGTGCTCGGTATGGAAATCGCAAGGTGATGAACGCCGTCAAATTTGACCTCCAGCCCAAAGTCCGTCACGACGAGCACGTAGCTCCCTTGCATGCCGATCTGCACCCCGGGCACCGCACCAATGATCGGGGTCTTGGTTCGCTTCCCGTTGATCTAGAAAAGAGGCGAGAAAAACCCCCAGCGGCGTGACTCGTGTTCCAGCGCGGAGTGCAATGTCACAGCGAAGGTCATTAAAATACACGAACGTGTCTGCAATCGTCTGTGTCGTTACATTTCTGCGAGATGCAATTTTCTTTTTTTCTGGTTTTTGTACCTGTGAATGTGGATTGGTGGCTTTGGGCTTTGCTGAAGTGAAGCGAACAATTATCGCGTCTATCTATGTGGACCTTTTTGGCAGTATCAATAAATTATGAAAAAGATAACAGGTTTTACCCTTTCATGGCAATAAAACAGGAGCTGTGTTAAGATGCAAGGCATCAAGTCTGAATTAACCACACATTCGTGTGGCAAAACACGCAAATAAACATGTTTGTTTGCATCGGAACGCGCGAGCAGCTCAGCGTAGATTTTATTCTACTCACCGCAGAGAACCGTAGCGACACGACCGCACTCTACGATATCTGGCACCAAACTTGTGTCACAGGCCCTCCCGCGTGGCCTTGTGGGGATGGGGGGGAGCCTCGGTTACATCTTTTCCTTCTGACTACGTTCCGATGACGTACGCGTATGCCACCGGAACGGAATCAGAAGGCGGAGCGGATGGCGTACGCGTACGTCAGGGTTAAGATTAGCTACCGTCCACGCTGGTCTCTTTCTCTCTCCCATTCGTTTCCCCGTCTCCCCTCGGCACCGTTCCTGTTGCCCGTCGTTCTCATTCAGAATGCCTCAGCCAGCAGTGCATCGACCCCCGCCTAGAGAGGGGTGACCGCGGAAGGTGACGTCGCGGAGCTACCGCCGAGGGCCGCACGAGGACGCGAACAGTTTAGAAGGATTGTCCCTCGGCCGTGTGAGGTGGGGGTGGGTTAGAGAAACGTGATCCATCCCCCCACCACCCGCACCACCCCCACCACCCCCCTCCTCCGATCTGCGATCGGCGCTTCTGTACTGGGCTCGCGTTGAGTTGTAATACATATTTAAACAATAAGTAACGTGCACCATCGTTGCAACTGCCGCACGCGGAGGCTGAACCGGTGGCCTCTGAGGCGCAAGTCGGCTGTGATGTGCTCGCCATGGCACCGCGGCAGCGGCCTTCCCGCGCGTGTCGGCCGATCCTTTAATCTCCCGCCATCAATGCGCGCATTTGACGAAGCTCTCCCACTGACGAGTGAACCTCAAACCCCCCCTCCTGCCTCCCACTCCACTCACTACACCCACACACACACTCCACCCACTCCACCCACACACACACGTCTGAAATCCCACATCCCCAACTGGAATCGATTCCAAACCCTACAAACCGATGACAGCCATTTCACTTCTCGATGGCGCAAACTTCGGGGTCGACTGCAAACGTCACTGATCGCCACCTGGAATAGATAACTGACCCCCCCCCCCCCCCCGGCGGTGAAGTCCCTCAGGGTTCAACCTTCCACGGAAAATATTGGACAACCCTCGACTGCTTGAGGACAAGGCTAGGGAAGATGATGACATGGTCACTCACTCCTTCATAAGTGCAGTGTTAAATGAAGAGAAGGGAAGAGGAGGGGGGAGGAAGGGGGGGGAGGAGGAGGGAGGAGGAGAGGGTAGGAAGAGGGAGGAGGCGCAAGAAGGAGGACCATCGCAATGGCGACGGCGGCATCATGGCGGGAGCGACTGTGCGTACCAGCACGCGGTGGCTCTTCTGCAGGGTGATGCGGTGGCCCGCGATGTCGACGACCACGTGCTTGAGGTAGGAGGCGTTGGGCAGGCCGCGCTCCTCGTTCTTGGCCGTGACGGTGAAGTTGGTCACTCCGGTGTCGTTGCACACGACCACCAGCGTGTACGTGCACGTGCCCATGTAGCTGATGAGCCGGGAGTCGAAGGTCACGTAGTGCGGATCTCCGGCCACGTGGCAAACTGCACGGTCTGTGGGGGGCGGGGGGGGGCGGTGATGTCGACGGAAGAGATCGTCATCATCTTCGTCATCATCGTAATCATTGTCATTAGCATTATCATCGTCATTGTCATGATTATCGTCATCATCTGTCATCATCATCGTCATCCTCATCATCGTCATGGTTATCCTACGTTGACATTGGTCCCTGTCGTGGGACTCCGGAATTTTCTGCCGTTGGTTCAAAGCTGCCGACAGAGATGAGCACTGGCCAACGCGCCAATATAGCTGTGACCGAGCAGTTGCTCTAGAGACCACGTGAAGTTCCCTTAAGGCAGTGGTGTGTGACGACATTGCTAGCTCAGGGGGTGCGGTAATCGGTCAGGTTGGTCTCGCACGATCATGCCTAGGCTATTATACAGGTTGCTTAAAAAAATGTTAACACTTACCTATTTTCCCGCATATAACCCTCGAGGTATACCACTTTTTACAAACAAAACAAGACTCGGGCTATATGGAGGTGCGGGCTATCCCAAAATATACGTGTGACATGTCATACTTTTTTCAAGGTATGACTATCCACTATGCAACACTTTCCTTTGACTAAAGCACTGCTGAATTAACCACTCACACTAAAATTTAATTTGTTTGTACAATTAAACGAGAATGTTTGAAGTGGGTGCACTTTGTTTACCGTAAAACTTTCAGTGGCTGTAGGGGGTGCGAAAGTTGCAGCTGAGGCTATGGATTGCACAATGGGAAGGGCCTTAACAAGCGTCTACCAGACGCGGAATCATAATTGCCGAGTCCCTTAGGCCGCTGCTATCGGCTGAGCACTACACAGTCGCGACCATGAGCTTTGTTTCAAACTTCCAATGGCTTTGTTGCCAGGAGGCAATGGCGTTACCGTAGTGCCGCTATTGTCTGCGCAGTGCGCAATCTACCAGTGCTGAAACTGTACAGGGGTAACTACTGGTCCAGTAGCTGTAATATGATGAGGTCGAATGCTGGTGAGCCTAACTGTACGCTTACTTACTTATCCAGTTATGTGTTACTTATTTATTGGATATTTACTTTTATTACTTATTTGCTGTTTTAAGTTCACTCGTTTCCGGTTAGTTTGTTTTCTTTGTGCATGTCATGATTTTAATGTTAACAATTGATAGTGGAATGTATTACAAATGTAAACTTTGTATTAATATGATGGAATTAAGCTGCGGTAACGACGTTAAAGATATGAATGCATGCGGGGTGTATGGAGGTACGGGCTATCTGAAATTTGTTTTACACAAAACGCAATTTTTGCGGGGTATATGCGTCTGCAGGTTATATGCGGGGAAATACGGTATATGGGACTATCGTTTTTAATGGAAAAAGAACGTATAATAGCACAGTAACATGATAACAAATGTATGTTAATAGCTTCACTTGTACGCCATCATTGTCAACGCATGCCTGGCATCTTCTCCAGGTGATCTCCAGAGCCCGGAGGCACATTTCTCGTGGTATTGTTGCAAATTCTCGGAAGTGTTCACATGTTTTTGAAGCACCCTAAATATCGACTCCTCTTGCCCTAATCACATTATTACATGAGTGTTGTTGTTCTTTCACACTGTTGTTGAGAGCATATCTGATGGTGGTTGTCAAGGGGGCCCCGACTCGTAGCCTTGGTCACCAGTGGGCAGGGGGTGGGGGGGCAAGGCACCCCCTGCCTGCCCCCACGCTCGTCACGCTACTACCTCAAAGTCTCTGACAGGATCGCGAACCGAACGCGGCACAGCGGGGCACACCGCACAGAACTCGCCTCGTGTGGCTGCTCCAGACGACAACGCTGGCGTTCCGGCAGTCGCAGGCGAGGCCCGTGCTGTCGAGGAGCTGGCAGCTGCTGTGCTCTCAGCTGGTGGCTCAACCGTCGTGAACATGCCCGAGACTTCCGTGTTAATGTCCGTAGTGCTGACGACAGGAGGCTGCTCTGTGGGATATGTAGACTCTGGGTTTGGCGCTTCTGTATATTTTGTGGTAAAGTCAAGGTCGGTAGTGCTGACGACAGGAGGTTCCTCTGTGGGATATGTAGACTCTGGGTTTGGCGCATCTGTATATTTTGTGGAAAAGTAAAGGTCGGTAGTGCTGACGACAGGAGGTTCCTCTGTGGGATATGTAGACTCTGGGTTTGGCGCATCTGTATATTTTGTGGAAAAGTCAAGGTCGGTAGTGCTGACGATAGGAGGTTCCCCTGTGGGATATGTAGACTCTGGGTTTGGCGCATCTGTATATTTTGTGGAAAAGTCAAGGTCGGTAGTGCTGACGATAGGAGGTTCCCCTGTGGGATATGTAGACTCTGGGTTTGGCGCATCTGTATATTTTGTGGAAAAGTCAAGGTCGGTAGTGCTGACGATAGGAGGTTCCCGTGTGGGATATGTAGACTCTGGGTTTGGCGAATCTGTATATTTTGTGGAAAAGTCAAGGTCGGTAGTGCTGACGACAGGAGGTTCCCCTGTGGGATATGTAGACTCTGGGTTTGGCGCATCTGTATATTTTGTGGAAAAGTCAAGGTCGGTAGTGCTGACGATAGGAGGTTCCCCTGTGGGATATGTAGACTCTGGGTTTGGCGCATCTGTATATTTTGTGGAAAAGTCAAGGTCGGTAGTGCTGACGATAGGAGGTTCCCCTGTGGGATATGTAGACTCTGGGTTTGGCGCATCTGTATATTTTGTGGAAAAGTCAAGGTCGGTAGTGCTGACGACAGGAGGTTCCTCTGTAGGATAGGTAGACTCTGGGTTTGGCGCATCTGTATATTTTGTGGGAAAATCAAAGTCTGTAGTGCTGTCTACAGGACCCTCTTCTGTGGAATCGGTAGAATATGGTATTGGGCCATTTGTGTATTCTGTAGGAAAATCGAAGTCTGTAGTGCTGTCTACAGAAGCCTCTTCTGTGGAATCGGTAGAATCTGGTATTGGGTCATCTGTGTATTCTGTGGGAAAATCGAAGTCTGTAGTGCTGTCTACAGGAGCCTCCTCTGTGGAATCGGTAGAATCTGGTATTGGGTAATCTGTGTATTCTGTGGGAAAATCTAGGTCTGTTGTGCTGTCTACCAGTGGATCATCTGTGAGATCCGACATCCATATGTCGGTTACCATTGGAGAAGATTCAAAACCTGTTGTGGTCACGGTCCGAGGCACGTCCGTTGTGGTGTAATCCGACACCGAGTGATCCGTCACCCCTGGCATGCCTGTCGTGCTGAAGACCGGCGCTGTGACCACTTCTGTAGGCCCTGGCGTTGAGCCGCCTGTCGGTTCGTGCACAGCTTGCGTGGCGGCCGATGTCGAGAGTTGGTTTGTGTGCGCCGTGTCCGCAGAGTCGTCCGTGTTAGCTTGTTGGGTGAAGGTGCTTGCCAGATCGGCCGGCGTCCCTGTGACAATCGGCCCCGACGCAGAATTCGTAGTTGAGACGGACACACCCCCCCCCCCCCCCCCCCCCGAACGTAAATATAACGTCGCGGTTGCGTTAACTTTTGACATTAAACATCACGATGGTTGGCAAGGCGTGCAAATGCATCGGTACCTGTGAGGGTTGTTGACGGAGGGGCTGTCACTGTCGATGGGCTCGTGTAGCAATCTGAAAAATAGCAAATCGGTTTTTTTTATGAAGTTTTCACTTTATTTTATCGTGAATTCATTACAATAATCCAACTGCAAAATGCCTTGAGATAGAACGTCTCGTTTGCAGGGTATCTGAGTTAAATTGGTACACACACAGCAAATAGATAATTAACACAAAGACAAAGATCCCCCGCATAGCCTTAACAGATTGTTGGGGCAAGTGCTGTTCATGAGCACCTATGAAGGCCATGCCGGCCTTCATAGGTGCTCGTGAATGATTATCTGTACCGGTCCTGGGCCTCCCCTAGGTCGACTCAGCCCCAAATGAATACCTGACGCAGTGTGTAAACGTCGCCACTTGGGAGACAAAAACGGCAGGGCGTGGTGCTGGCCACCCACCCCCTCGTGCACCATTCCGACCTTCATAGGTGCTCGCTAACAGCACTTGCCCCAACAGTTCATTAAGGCTATACGGCAGACCTCTGTCTTTTGTACAAATGTTGAACTTCTTTCGCACCCTGCTCATCGGAGGTGCCCCATCACCTGAGAGGTCGCAGGCTGAGATGCAAACGCTGTCCAGGGCAACGTCGCTCTGCGCGGTTTCTCCACGTATTCCTTCGATGGCAAACTGCAGGAAGGCGAACGACAGTGCAGTGTAAACACCCAGGGGGCCGTTTGCTGATCATCGCCAGCCAAGGTAAATACAGGGTGCTTCAAAAAAATATTTACACTTATATGGGACTATCGTTTTTAATGGAATAAGAATGGATAATACACTGTAACATGATAACAAATGTATGTTAATAGCTTCAAAGAGTCTCCACTTGTTCGCCATCACTGTCAACGCATGCCTGGAATCTTCTCCAGGTGGTTTCCAGAGCCCAGAGGCACATTTCTTGTGGTATTGTTGCAAATTCTCAGAAGTGTTAAGAAATGTTGAACCACCCAAATATTCAGCAGGCGTCAGGCTGGGGAATGAGCCCACGACCTCCTGCATACCAGGCAAGGTAGTTAACATATCGCCACCGCAGCACCCCCAGTGCCCTCGACAATGACGGAACGATCCCAGCGTGCATTGTGACGTGAGTGTGCGCTGCATTGCTCGCGCGCTGCTGGTGCGCGTGTTGGTCTTGTAATGTACGTACGTTGAACTTCTTTCACACCGTACGTAGCCAACCATGATAATCGGAGGTGCGGGGGAAGGTCAACAAACTAAACACTAAAAGCAGTTCTAAAGAAATGAGTTTTAAATCGAGATGATGATTTAAAAGTGCAAAGCTCAAGTGGCTTCTCAATATCGGAAGGAAGAGCGTTCCAGACGGCCGTAGAAGCGCATCTGAAAGTGCAGCGCGATGCGGTGACCATCTTTGTTCAACGACCAGCCAAAAGCCGCCACTGCTGCTGCTGCGAGGATGACGGCCAGAGTTCGCGTGATGATGCTCTTTTACGAGATCGGCGGGGTGCATGTTTTGAATATATTTGTGGCGAGCACTTTGTGTGTGCGAGCAGCGCGGAGCCATGGGAAGTATTCCACCTGCCTGGAGCGGCCCTTGGCGGAGAGCGAGGAGCCGAACTGGAAGCCACCACCGCCCGTGGTTGCCGCGGGCGGACCAAATGGGATCCCCCAAGGAGCCACCTGCACCAGACGGGCATCGGAGCGAGACTCGGTTACTGAACGTCGCACAGGGCTTGTGTGGAAATAACGTGGGGAGTGGGGTCTTGGGGGAGGAGACCTTGCAGCGTCTGTCACGTTGTCAGTCACAGTAGGTCAATCGATTTACTTCAAGCCTTGCTCTTCCTTGATGCATTATTTTGCTGCTTATGAATTACCACGTGATAATGAGACACTTCGTTGAGCTATCATTTGTGGTGGGCAGGTCGCTTCTGAAAACGAGCGACGTAGTTCAATGGGCCTTACCTGGTAAAATACTTCTTCTTGGTTCTTTCAGTAAAGTCACGTAAAAGGGAAGTAATAAAAAAAATATATATTTTATTATTTTACTATATTATTTTATTATATTATTATATCATATTATTATATTATTTTATTGTGTTTTATTTTTATTCTTTTATTACTTCCCTTCTACGTGACTTTACCGAAAGAACCAAGAAGATGAATCTCTGCATTCACGAAAGCTTTAAATCGAAATTTTGGTAAAATACTCTTATATATCATGGGACCTCCTTTGCCAGTACCAAAATATACTAATAGGGTTTTCCACTTTTTTTTTTTCCTTTTTTTTCCGGCAACAAAACTGCCAGAAAAAAGGGAAAAACCCTATTAGTATACTCTTATATAAGCGCACAACTTTATCTATCTGTGATGAACGCTGCACTTTCCATCGTTTTCATGCAGGGGGCGCTGCAAACCGACGCACCCCCTGCATGGACGACGGAGGCGCAGGGACAGACGTTCGATTACGCTGGAATCGATCTGCAGACGGCGGTCTTCTCGCACGACCAGCTCTATGTCGCCTTTTCTCGATCCCGCAATCACAAACAGGTCAAAGTCCGCATCGAACCAAACCCCCAGCAAGGCCATCTACTTAACGACGAGAGAAAATTCACACGAAATGTCGTTTTCAATTATGTCTTCCAGATGCAAAATGATATAAGCTTATAATGAAGAAATAAAATTATCTAATTCAAAACATAATACAATTCAAAGATGTTTCATTTTAAAACTTCAAAACGGAGCATCGGGTGCTTGCGTCGTTCGTGTGCAATATTTTTTGTGAACAAAACAACCCCTAGTAAAAATAGTTTATTAGTTTAACTACCTCGCCTGGTATACAGGAGGTCGTGGGTTCAATCCCAACCCTGACACTTGTATAATTGACATGTGCATGTTCTCCCCGTGATCGCGTGGATTTTTCTCCGGGTCCTCTGGTCTCACCCCTCCACATTTAGAATCAACGTGCGTTAAGAGTATATGGCTGCTGTACATTTCTACATGAGACGCCGTTTCGTTGAGCTATCGTTTGTGATAGCCAGGTCGCGTCCAAAAAAGAAGCTAGTAGCTCAGTGGGCTTTACCTGGTAAAATTTTAAAAAAGTTTAGTTTTATTTGTATATTTTTTTAAGTGATTGTTTACCTTTCCTATACTTTGCACTCCTATCGTGCTCTTGTATTCTTTGTTTTTTGTTGTTGTAACGTTCTGACCCCGTGCCCCTACTGGACATCTGTGAAAATGAGTTTAATAGCTCATCAAATTCCTCCTGCAGTCTTAAAATTCTGATTCTGATAGCCCTGCGTGTGTCTAAGTCGTACGCTGATGCCTTGATACTCAACAGCATCGATAGATACCACCATTAAACAGAGAATTCAACTCAAAAGTAAATTATATTGTTACGTGTTCACTGGAATCCAACGTGAATAAAGGTAAACATGCATTTTTGCATAACCCCACTCCATGCAATGCTGCAGTACACTCTAACCTGTTACAAGAGCAATGACACGAACTGTAAAATGATCGAATGTTCATCACACATTACCGGAGAGCTGTCCACCAGAAAATAAACACATTCTGAAATGTCAATGGGCGTTAAATTATCGATGAGTCTGCAGGTTTCCTACCCTCCTTGATGTAAACGTTGATGGCCATGTTCTCTGCTGACCCATACAGGAAGTAGTGGAAGCTCAGGACGAGGCACCCAGAGGAGGGGAGAGCCGGACTCTCCAGCAGCAGCGCCGTTCCAGGGTCGTTGACCTCAGAGTCCAGCAGCAGGTAACTCCCAACTACACACAGCAGAGTTAACACAGTGATCCACACACACACTGCTGTATTCACTAACAGTGGTCCACACACACTGTGCTGTATTCACTAACACAGTGATCCATACACACTGTGCTGTATTCACTAACACAGTGGTCCACACACACACTGTTGTATTCACTAACACAGTGGTCCACACACACACTGCTGTATTCACTAACACAGTGATCCACACACACTGCTGTATTCACTTACACAGTGACACACACACACTGTTGTATTCACTAACACAGTGATCCACACACACACTGCTGTATTCACTAACACAGTGATCCACACACACTGTTGTATTCACTAACACAGTGGTCCACACACACTGCTGTATTTACTCACACAGTGATCTGGACACACTCTGCTGTATTCACTCACACAGTGATCCACACACACTTTGGTGTATTTACTAACACAGTGATTCACACATACACACTGCTGTAGTCACTAACACAGTGATCGAGACACATTATACTGGATGTGGGTTTCAAGGCCAGTAGCTTGAGTGGGGGCTGTGAGTGATGCGAGGCTGTAAGATACTCACATCCAGGCCGTGAGAAGTCATCATCAGGGCCAGTGTTCTCAGTGTTTGTGGGACCGTTCCAATGCTCCCAGCCAAAGTCCCCTCCGCTGTTCGCCCAGCCGCAGAAGTCACCCATCTCATCGAAGTCACATCCGCTCACACACTCTGTGGGGTGATTTAAATAAAAAAAATAAATGATCATCAATACAAAACACAGAAGCATCAGCCACGCATTCACACACATTGGTATTTTTTTTTATCAACCTGGTTTCCGGGTTTGGGTTTTCGACACCGGTAAGCGTGCCGATGATGTCACGGGGCCTTTGGGTTGCACTTCGGGGCACGTTAGGAGGTGGCTTGTCAGCGCCGCTAGCACCAGCAATGGATCCGTCAGCTCTGCGAAGTGCGCTGGTCGTGGGCCTGCTCACTGCGCGGCTATTCTGCCCATTCTCGTTGACCAGAGACCAATGTTTTGTCGTTCTCTGCGAAACGAACAACACGATACGTTTGAGAATGAACACCGAAATCTCGACCCAAACGTCGCACCTCCCGACGATGAAAAACTCCCCGGAGACACCTGCGGAACCGTCAGTCGCATCGGAACATTGACAGGCCGATGTCGACAGGCCACATCTCTCCTTCACGAATGGAACATGAAAGACCCAAGCCACGGTGGTGCGATTGTGTCCATGCAACCCGCACAGAGTAATCCCACAATGGAGGAAGAGCACAACTACAAATTGGACATTGGCGTTGTGCTCCCGAATAGACACAAATGCGAGTACAGCACAATTGCTGTTCATCGCGGAATTGGTTTTTTTCCTCATTGCACCTTTTTGCATTGTAAATGAACAAATAATTCCACCCGCACGGCTCGTGTGAGTCGGTGTCGCGGTTTCTTGCCCCTTCAATTGCAATTAGCTGCAGTCCTAAAAAAGTGACGGCTGCTTGAAACGCCATGGTGGCAGGAGGCCGAGCTACTCAGTGAGGAGTCTCCAAAAGTCTGCTCATTAGTTTGGAAGACCCTGTAACTGCGATGGAACGAGTAATACGTTACGTTTTATGTTGGAGAGACGGGAGGAAATTATGACAGAAAGTAGGTTTTACCCTTTCTGGCAATAAAACAGGAGGTGTTAAGATGTTCAAACGCCAAATAGAAACATTTTGCAACGGAGCATAATCAAGTCTGCAATATGAGAATAGGTTTTCCCCTTTTATATGGCAACAAAACAGGTGTTAAGATGTTAAAACACCAAACTGAAACCTTTTACAAGGAATCATGTCTGCATTAACCACAATACTTGTGGTCAGAATGCAAACAAAAAACATACATGAGACTAGGCTCAAAAGAAAGCTGTCTCTGGTGTGGACCAATAAGTTTCAAAGACAATGCATAAATTATCAGAGTATATTTTTTGTTTGCATTCTGACCACAAGTATTGTGGTTAATGCAGACATGATTCCTTGTAAAAGGTTTCAGTTTGGTGTTTTAACATCTTAACACCTGTTTTGTTGCCATAAAAAAGGGGAAAACCTATTCTCATATGTTGGTACTGGCAAAAAAGGTCCCATGATGAAGTCTGCAATAACCACACATACTTGTGGAAAACATGCAAACAAACATGCCCCGATAATATTCTCACATTGTCTTTGAAACTGATTGGCCGCCGTCAGAGACAGCAGCCTTCTTCATGGCCCTGTCTTTCTGGCCTTATTTCCCAAAAATTGTAGTGGCTACGTGTACACACGCGACGGGCGCGTCACGTGTGCACACGCGACGGGCGTGTCAAGCCCGTCACGACACCCACAGTTGGCTGTGCCCCCTTTCTGCGCTCTTACCTGGACACCTTCCCAGCACCACTGTGATGTCATCCAGCGCCACGTCGCTCATCGCGGTGATTCCTCGAATGCCCTCGATGATCACCTGCAGGATTGCAGAGCTCGGGGGCATTAGTCCCAAGAGGCATGCTCCATGGCGCCACCAAGCACCAGGGGAATGCAATGGTGAACATTCAACCGAATATTGAATTACATTTTTTACGCAAAACGCAACCGGCGTCATTTCACACGGCAGATCCGATGCACGATTCTCCTCTAGGCCGGTGCTGCCAGGTGGCACTAAGCTCGGTGTGTGGCCTGGCGTAGATGGTGACGGTTCTGGTGATTATTAGGAGCCACTGACCTGGGTGTGTGGCCTGGCCTGGATGGTGAAAGTTGCGGTGAGTATTAGGGGCCACTGACCTGGGTGTCTGGCCTGGCCTGAATGGTGACAGTTCCCTGCAGCCAGGCGCTGCTCTGCTGCCCCTCCGCGCGCCACACGCGTCTCTCTACGCCGTCCTCCAGCACGTGCACGTTCAGGGTCATAAGTTCATCGCCGTACATGTGGTACCAGAAGCTCAGGCACACGTTCTGGTTGGTGTTGATGCTGGGGCTCAGGAGCCTCACTCCTCCCCAAGCTCCCACAGACGCAGAGTCCAGGTAGAGGTAGAAGGAGGCTGAAACGAACCGGAATCCCATGCCATCAATGTGTGCACGCGGAGCGAGCGAGCGGTGGCACAGCGGTTGGTATGTTGAACTTCTTTCGTACCATAGGTAGCCAACCGTCCTCATCAGAGGTGCGGGAAATTGAACGTGCGAACGTTTGACATTTACATCTTTAAATATTACAAATTTTTTAAAGCCTCATCTTAGCAACTATCCTCCTATTAGCACAGTTCGCTACATACGGTGCAAAAGTTCAACAAACAAACATACGTAGTTTAACACAGAGGCTTCCACAACCAATTGTGCGGTTTGTGCACCACACTACGATGCTGACAAACCTGCGTAGACTCCTGGGCATGCACATCTGGGGAAAATGGTATCTGAACTTGACCTGGGAATGACTCTCCTAGGTCGACTCAGCCTCAAGTGAGTATGAACCTCTGGACAAAAAGTGACGTCCTATAAATATCAGGAGTTCTCACTCGAGTATTTCCAGCAGCTTCCACGCCAGTGTGATCAAGGAGACTCGGAACAATTCATCCACACTCACCTCCCCCAAGCCATCATGCCCACATGCAGGCCAGGTGCTGAGTCACCTTGTGTCCACAAGGCCACTGGGAGCAGGGCGCTGCAGTGGCTAGATGTTAACTACCTCCCCTGGTATACAGGGGGTTGTGGTTTTGATCCCAACCCAGATGCCTGCTGTATATTTGGAGTTTGCATGTCTCTCTCCCCGTGGTCGCGTGGACTTTTCTCTGGGTCGTCCGGTCTTTCCCTCCACATTTAGAATCAACATCACATGTTTCGAGTATTTGGCTGCGATAAATTTAGACATGATGTTAAGACACTTCGTTGACCTATCATTTGTGATTAGCCAGGTCGCTTCTGAAAAAGAGCGATAAAACTCAGTGGGCCTTACCTGGTAAAATAAAAAATAATTAGTTTAGTTTCAAGAGCATGCTCTCGCTTTGCTCAAAAACGCACCTCACTTGGGCTAGGAGTGTAATACGACAAAGGCATTTTCAATCCGGAGTACTGGCAGAGCCAGTGCATTAGCCCATGAGTTCTATCAAACAGCCCGTGGAAGGAGATATCGCAGAACTACTCTTGAGATCCTGGTGCATTAACGCACTTAAGCAAAATACAGTCTCGGCACTCACATCCGGTGGTGTGGTCCCCAGGTGGACCGGTGTTGGGGTTGGGGGTTGCTCCCGAGTTCCTGATCCAGTCTCCGGCGTCATCGCCCGACTGAGTCCAGCCGCACAGCGGGAGTGCCGCATCGTCAAAGCTGCAGCTGAGACGCACATCTGCAGAGAAGACACGAAGCATCATCAACCCGAGTGCTTTTCCTTTGTGAAATATCAACGTCGTCGTCGTCATTCACGAAAAATGCACCGCTAGATGAAGGCTTCCCCCAAATCGTGACAATTCCCCACAGTCGTGTGATGTCAAGATTCATCTCACTCCCGGTTCCAATGCTTCATCTGCGTGGTTGGTGGACGTTCTGCCCTGGCGTTTTATCTCCTTCGGCAACCACTCCATCATTGGTGACGAATGTCGGCCATCATCCCTTCCAGCCACGTGTCCTGCCCTACCCCCCTTTTCTTTTTTTGTAAATTATTTTAATTGATCCAACCACATGGGTGATGTACAACTTCCGCGACACGTGAGCTGTGCATAGCAGGATAGGTGGACGTGTAGGACCGTGGCGTTATGCGGTACGTGATTCTTCCAAGAGCTCGGGATGGTCTTTCTAGCCGAAATGTTAAATACTTGCAGAAGGTGCCTGGTGACGCCTTGGGGTTTAAAGCCCAGGAGGGAGGATTCAATGCTTGGTGTTATCTCGATGCCAGACATCACGTTGTACAGATCGGTTATTTTATCACGGAATGTCCTGATCAAGCCCCTTTTCTTTAAGATCGATAGTGTCCCTAACTTGCACAAGTTATCTAAGTCCGTATCTTCCTCTTTCTGTCTCTCAACGCGGTGGCAATCAGAGTTCTCCAAGTGTTTCTTGGCGCAGGTTTTCAAATTTTGATCCCCCTTTATATTTGTCCATGCCCCACGCTCCTGATCCACTGATTTGATCCAGGAGCTGTCTCTTTTGGATTTGCGAAATGGGCTGAACGTTGTAACCGGAGCGATTAACTCGACGTGCGCACGAAAAATACCACCAAGGGAACACTCAGAGCAAATCTCTTCCACAAACAAGACGGGCGGCGTGCGACGGTGAGAGTGTACGTGTGTACGTTTAACTTCTTTTGCAACCGCGCTAATTGTAGGTGCGGGGGAAAAGACAACAAACTAAATACAACAACAAGCAGTTATAAAGAAATTAGTTCTCAATCTATATGATTTAAAAGTGCATAGCTCTAGTGACTTCCTAACATCAGAAAATGTATCTATACTGGAAAAATCTGATGAGCAATAAAGTTCTTGCTCACAGATGTCCAGTTGGGGCAGGTAAGAACGTGACAGCAACAAACAGTACATCGGAAGGCAGAGCGTTCCAGACGGCCGCAGAAACGCACCTGAAAGTGCCGTCTTTGTTCGGTGGTAAGAACAAAAGGCGCTGCAGCTGCTGCTGCTGCTGTGAGGATGACCACCGGAGTGGCCACGTACCTGGCTCGGGAGCTGCAGGTGTCTGCGGGATGCACGCGGTGCTGGCGGAGGGCGTGGGCACGGTGGTGGTGGTCGTTGTTGTGGTGGTCGTTGTTGTGGTGGTGTTCACCGCTGTGCTCTCTGCGAAGCACGGCATGCGGTGTTCTCGTCAGTTTCACCGGAGCAACGTTCCATGCGAGATGAGCATCCAGTAGTTTTGCACGATTAAAATTTTTACGTGGACGCATATTTGCATTCATCTATATTTGTATCTTTCTGGGATTGCTTTAATGCCACAAAAAAAAGTACGAGATTGTTCACACTTACATATGTGTGTATAAGAAAACCGTATCGTCCTTAAACCCTGAGCGTATTTAAACTGCAGGAGTAAAAACAATTCTCGATTTCATTTTATTCTGTACGCGCACGTTGTGTCACAGGTGAACTTTTCCACGTGCAACAACAAATTTCAACACACCTCGTTACTACTGAAAACACAAAGGTAACCATGGCGTTTCTACAACGCATTATAACGACGTGTTTCAAACACGTTCATTGCGTGCACGCACTGCCGGATCGTACAAATCAACGTAACGTTGAAAATAACAAGAGGACTAAACGGGGAGTTCACCTAGATCTGGGGTCCCCCCTCGTGAATGCCACTCCAGAAACCTTGAGTTTACTTGACTGACCTTAAAATGAGACTGACTCCCCCCCCCCCTCTTTCCCCCATCTTTTCCCGAAGAAAAGGGAGATCTAACGCATCACGTACCGCACAATGCTACGGTCCTGCACGTCCTTGTTGATTGTCGAGCCACCAATCCCTCACCTGTCACGGAAGTTGTACACCCCCCCCTTCCACCCCCCCGTGGTTGGATCAATGAAAATAATTTACAAAATAAAAAGAAGAGGACTAAACAACACCGCTTGCTGCCACATCCGTAAGCTCACGTGCCATGCAATTCGCGACACGGTTTGTATTCACGCAGCATCTAAAGGCGACCCGCATCTCAAGACGCTGCACAAAAGAGTGCGACTCATGTCACGGGTTAGCTTTGGATCGCTCAAAGCAGGGTGAGGGCGCCACGGTGGCTAGGAGACGTTAACTATCTCGCCTGGTATACTGGAGGTCGTGGTGGGTTCTGATCCCGACCCTGATGCCTGCTGTGTATTTGAAGTTTGCGTGTCTCTTTCTCCGTGGTCGCGTGACGTTGAGTCACCACTATAAGTTCCCACGTGATGATGATAAGCCACTTCGTTGAGCTATCATTTGTTATGGCCCGGTCGCTTCTGACAGAGAGCTACGTAGCTCAGTGGGCCCTTACCTGGTAAAATAAAAACGAGTTTTCTTTTGGTTTAACAAACCACTCATGATGTCTGAAACTGGGAAATCTGAGCTAAAATCTCATCTCAAACAGGATCCACAAATTACCAAGGCAATCTGTATATTTGTGTGAAACATTGATTTGTGTGAAACATTGACAAAATCGGTTGCACGGGTAATGCTAGTTTATAGTTTTGAGGCATAGGCAGAGGAAACAACAAGTGTCCCATCTCTATTCAGGGGGTGCAGAACAATGCCTCTGACTGACAGGGAAAACCATCGGATTCCTTACTGCACGCAAGCCGGTGGATTGTTTGCATGCCCTCTCGTCGTAACCAAAAGACATTTCCACCTAGCTCCTGCACGCACGTGTGAGCTATCATATGCAAAAACCTAATTATGCCGTAGCATAATCCACCGTGGTGTTACACGATGCATCGATTAATGCGATGTTAATACAAAAAATACATGAACCCTTCATTTCAATCGTCACCGCCTGAGTCTTGACAATTTCCTCTCATCGCTGGCTGAGTGAATCGTTGCATCCTCGGTCACCTTTGGTGGTGTCGTGAGAAGTGGCCGTGGACTCCGACGACGATGGGGAAGGGCTCCATGTGGAGTCCTCGACCATTGAGCCTGTGGAGCCGCCCGGGACGCGTGTTGTTGCTGTTGTTGTTGCTGCTGTTGCTGCTGTTGTTGCTGTTGTTGTTGATGTTGTTGCTGTTGTTGTTGCTGCTGTTGCTGCTGCTGTTGATGTTGTTGCTGTTGCTTCTGTTGCTGCTCCTGTTGCTGCTGCTGTTGCTGCTGTTGCTGCTGTTGTTGCTGTTGCTGCTGCTGCTGTTGTTGCTGTTGTTGTTGTTGCTGTTGTTGTTGCTGTTGCTGTTGCTTCTGTTGCTGCTCCTGTTGCTGCTGCTGTTGCTGCTGTTGCTGTTGCTGCTGTTGCTGCTGTTGTTGTTGTTGTTGCTGTTGTTGTTGCTGTTGATGTTGTTGCTGTTGCTTCTGTTGCTGCTCCTGTTGCTGCTCCTGTTGCTGCTGTTGCTGCTGTTGCTGCTGCTGCTGTTGTTGCTGTTGCTGTTGTTGTTGCTGTTGATGTTGTTGCTGTTGCTTCTGTTGCTGCTCCTGTTGCTGCTCCTGTTGCTGCTGCTGTTGCTGCTGTTGTTGTTGCTGCTGTGATAGGGACCGTGGAACCGACTGTTGCATCCTGGGTGCTCTGTGCAGTGCCAGCGGTCGGCAGCGCCACGGCTGCGCTGCTCGCCGTGGATTCTGCGGCAGGCGTCGCGACGGGCGGTTGAGTAGAGGTCGTCGTCGGCGGTGTGGAACCTGGCCTGGAATGCGTGGTAGAGATTGGGTGCGGGCGAGCGCTGTCAGCGTGGGTCGATCGTTCGGTCGTTGTGACGAAGCCGGGCGCAGATTCCGCCGGAGTTGTGGATTCTGGCGGTGACGTGTGTAGTTAATGCGACAAGGAAATGACAATGAACGTGAATGCAATCGACGTCTCGTGTGGCATTCGAATTGGCATCAATATCCATCCATCTCCTCTGTGCGAAGGTGTCCACCGTTCAATTAACGCGGGCTGATGCCTCACAACAGCCGCGCTCATACGTGCGGTGCCAACTGCAATCGCTCAAAGGTGTTTTTTTTTCAATTCTGTAAAATGTATTAGAAATATGTCATCACCTGCAGCAAACAGCAAATTTCGTAAACAAACATTTTCAACTTTTTATCAACTTCTGGATGAAGCCCTCCCCCTCACCGTGTGAGTGGCCGGGGTTTTCATGACCATACTTCACCACACTGGTCAGCGTGGGTTGGTTAAGGGGCAGAACTAGGACTGGTTCAGATATCGCTCGCCACTGTGAACCATGTCCACAATTTAACGGAGGTCGTCGGGTTTCGTGGTGCCACTACAAGATCACTGCTCCCACCCCAGATATTATGAATGACGTTATCCACCCTGCGATATTCCAATCAAACGAATCACCCAAACGCGTTTTAAAGGTGACTTGATGTGAAACCTGTAACGGACAAAAGTTAGGGTCTAAATTGGGCGCCGCATTGGCGAGATGTTAACTACCTCGCCTGGGACACAGGAGGTCGTGGGTTATAACCCAACCCTGATGCCTGCGGTATGTTTGGAGTTTGAGTGTCTCTCTCTCATCTACGTAGCTCAGTGGGGCCTTACCTGGTAAATGTATAAAAAGTTTTGTTTTAGTTTAGGAATGCTTTGTAAACAAGACTGACGAAATTGTTTACACTGCTGCAGTCACATGCGTGCATTTCTGAACGAGACAAGATGGACATTTCCGTCACATTTCAAGGTATAGAATGTAGCGATGAGACGAGGGAGGGGCTTACCTGAACTTCCACTTGTAGTCGGGGGTTCACAGACTGTTGACAATGCACATAGTACACACACACACACACATGAATGTACATTAGTATGATACTGTATTCTGTTAAATTGGCGTTTGTCAAAGATTAATATAAAAATGTCATGCCACGGTGTAAGTCCAGTGTAAAGAGGAGCAGAGAGGTAACCGATGCTGTCACAGGACTCATAATTACACAAGCACTCAACCCATCATGAACGAGGCAGATCCCAGGCAGGGCTCACTCAGCCCATCATGAATGAAGCTGCTCCCAGGTAGGGCTCACTCAGCCCATCATGAATGAAGCTGCTCCCAGGTAGGGCTCACTCAGTCCACCATCCGTCTAAGGCCGGTCAAATGAGTAACACGTGGTGAGCACTGCTTGGGTGGACAGTTTACTATATTTTTTTATTTTACCAGGTCGATTATAAATGTGGAGGGAAAAGTCGGAGGAACCGGAGAAAAATCCACGTGACCACAGGGAGAGAGACACGCAAACTGCAAATATACAGCAGACGTCAGGGTCAGGATCGAACCCACGACCTCCTGTATACCAGGCGTGGTAGTTAACATTTTGCCACTGCCGCACAGTGGATGGCCCCATCTACTATAAACTACGTCCCATGCCACCGTAATGTGGAATGTGCATCGCTGGCTCCAGATTGCCAACTGTGTTATCCGCACCGCTCATCAACTTGCCAGACGCACCGGCGCACGGTACCGATCCTTTTTAAGCTCCGAACGCGAGCGGCGTTAACAGGGAATGCGTGACAGAGCAGGTGCGCTTTTGCGAGGACCTACAAACAGCTTAACACGTAGCAGGCTTTCGCGACCAATGTTATTCATAATGAAGGTTTTTGGGTTAGATCGCGTAAGTATAAAAGTGTCGTAACCCTCCAACACCCGACACAGCCAGCATGGTTTGTCACATACAGTAAACAACGTGCCAATTAGTTTCTACTTCAGCCCACTGGGGTGTTGGAGAGTAAATCCACAACATTTACAAACAGCTGCTGTGCTGTGACCTCCGATGAGTACGGTTGGCTACGTACAAAACAAGTTCAACGCACCCAACGTAGCGTGACGCTACCTCACAGTTCAGCGCAGTCATACCTGGCGCACAGCCCTGCTCGGTGACACACAGACCGTCCAGAGCAACGTCGCTCTCGCCTGTTTCACCCCGAACTCCTTCAATGGCGAACTGGAACGTAAGAAGCACACGGCGCGAGTTGGTTCGCGTTCGGAGTTATGAGAGCCGACAGAGCAAAAACTTTGTGTCTCCGTGAAACTTCTAAGTGGGAGGTCACTGGCCGATTAATGCATCAACGAATATGTACGTATGTATGGTGGACTTCTTTTGCACCTTACGTAGGCAACTGTGCTAATCGGAGATGCAGGAGAAAGGACAACAAACTGAAAGCAAAAAGCAGCTCTAAAGAAATTAGTTTTCAATCTGGATTTAAAAGTGCATAGCTCCCAGTGGCTTACTAATATTGGAAGGAAGAGCATTCCAGACGGCCGCAGAAGCATCTTTGTTCGATGGCCAGCCAAAAGCTGCTGCTGCTGTGAGGATGACCGGAGTTCGCGTGATGGTGGTTTATGCTCCTTGTTGAGATCAGCGAGGTATTGTGGCTCATTTGTGGCAAGCGCTGTGTGTGTAATGAGTGCGAACTTATTATAATGGGATACGCCTCGTGCATAACTCATCGTGGGCCATCTTGGGAGATTTTGGGCACAATGTGAAATGAATAATGTTCGCAATCTGCCTGTCTCATTCACTCGTGTTGCGTGCCTCAGTGAGGAAGCTTTGAGAGCAGCATTTGGTGTAGACAGGCAGCGGGGGGTGCAGTCAACACGAAAGCTCCCCCCCGCCCCCCACAGTGCCACGCGTCGATCACACGCCCCTACGACGAGATCCCGCGAGAGGCATGAACTAAAACTAAACTCAACCATTTTTAAAATTATTTTTCCAGGAAAGGTCCCACTGAGCTGTGTAGCTCTTTTTATTTAGAAGCGACCTGAGCTATCACAAATGATAGCTCAACGAAGTGTATAAATACTACTAAACGCGTGACATTTATTCTAAATGTTGAAGGAAAAGTCGGAGGACCCTGAGAAAAATCCATGCGACCACGGGGAGAGAGAGAAACATGCCAACTCCAAATATACAACAGGCATCAGGGTCGGGATCGAACCCACAACCTCCTGTATAGCAGGCGAGGTAATTAACATCTCCCAGCCATGGAGTGCACGCCATTCCTACTCTACTCTCGCGTGCGGCAGCGACCAGTTCAAGAGCTCGATGCCAATGTCGAGGTCTGCTGGCCACGACGAGCGGGCTTCGGCACAGAGAGTTCGTGTCGTTTTGCCGTTCCTCCTCCAGTGAATGAGCGCTGGCCACAGTCGATATCGTCCGTTGTTTGTGTTGCATGGCCACAATCGCGCTTGCTATGGCTCGTCTTCAATTCCCCATTTGCGTGCGCGTCGAACTGGTGACGCTCTGGCCCGGTTGATGGTTCTACCGGTGTCTTTTGGGAATGTCTAAGCCAGGAGGCGTTGCCATGTTTGGGTTATCTAACGAGTTTGTGTTCATTTGTGGAGAGCCTCTGTAAAGCAAGGGGCGTAATCCGGCCAGTGCGGCGCGAAAGCCCAAGTCGAGTGTGGTGACCACAACGGCGCCGCTACACATGTAGTGCTTTTATTTCACGCGGACAACTTCTTCTTTTTCCCCTGTGTCACTTTTCATTGAACAGAACTCCTCACGGTCAACACCACGTGACTCCGTGGCAACTCTCCCGCTTGCGCTGCTCGCCTGCTTCACTCACTCCGCTCTCTCTCTCAGCCTCTCCACTGCTAGCCTGCTCTCTCTCACTCTCTGAGCCTCTCTACTGCTAGCCTGCCTGCCACGCTCTGCTCGCTTTGCTGTCTCCACTGCTGGCCTATCACTACACCCTCTGGTAGCTTCCCACCGTACGCTCTGCTAGCCTCACCGCTGATAGCCTGTTACCGAACACTCTGCGAGCTTCTTCACTGCTAGCCTCTCACTATATCTTCTGCTAGCTTCTCTACTGCTAGCCTCTCGCTATACACTCTGCTAACTTCTCCACTGCTAGCCTCTCACTATACACTCTGCTAGCTTCTCTACTGCTAGCCTCTCACTATACACTCTGCTAGCTTCTCTACTGCTAGCCTCTCACTATATCTTCTGCTAGCTTCTCCACTGCTAGCCTCTCACTATCTCTGCTAGCTTCTCTACTGCTAGCCTCTCACTATATCTTCTGCTAGCTTCTCCACTGCTAGCCTCTCACTATACACTCTGCTAGCTTCTCTACTGCTAGCCTCTCACTATACACTCTGCTAGCTTCTCCACTGCTAGCCTCTCACTATACACTCTGCTAGCTTCTCTACTGCTAGCCTCTCACTATATCTTCTGCTAGCTTCTCCACTGCTAGCCTCTCACTATACACTCTGCTAGCTTCTCTACTGCTAGCCTCTCACTATACACTCTGCTAGCTTCTCCACTGCTAGCCTCCCGCTATATACTCTGCTAGCTTCTCCACTGCTAGCCTTCCGCTATGTACTCTGATAGCTTCTCCACTGCTAGCCTCTCACTATATCTTCTGCTAGCTTCTCCACTGCTAGCCTCTCGCTATATACTCTGATAGCTTCTCCACTGCTAGCCTCTCACTATATCTTCTGCTAGCTTCTCCACTGCTAGCCTCTCGCTATATACTCTGCTAGCTTCTACACTGCTAGCCTCTCGCTATACACTCTGCTAGCTTCTCTACTGCTAGCCTCTCACTGTACACTCTGCTAGCTTCTCCACTGCTAGCCTCTCGCTATACACTCTGCTAGCTTCTACACTGCTAGTCTCTCGCTATACATTCTGCCAGCTTCTCTACTGCTAGCCTCTCACTATACACTCTGCTAGCTTCTCCACTGCTAGCCTCTCACTATACACTCTGCTAGCTTCTCCACTGCTAGCCTCTCACTATCCACTCTGCTAGCTTCTCTACTGCTGGCCTCTCGCTATACACTCTGCTAGCTTCTCCACTGCTAGCCTCTCACTATCCACTCTGCTAGCTTCTCCACTGCTAGCCTCTCGCTATACACTCTGCTAGCTTCTACACGGCTAGCCTCTCACTATACACTCTGCCAGCTTCTACACTGCTAGCCTCTCGCTATACACTCTGCTAGCTTCTACACTGCTAGTCTCTCACTATACACTCTGCTAGCTTCTCTACTGCTAGCCTCTCACTGTACACTCTGCTAGCTTCTCTACTGCTAGCCTCTCACTACACACTCTGCTAGCTTCTCTACTGCTAGCCTCTCACTGTACACTCTGCTAGTTTCTCTACTGCTAGCCTCTCACTATACACTCTGCTAGCTTCTCTACTGCTAGCCTCTCGCTATACACTCTGCTAGCTTCTCTACTGCTAGCCTCTCACTATACACTCTGCTAGCTTCTCTACTGCTAGCCTCTCACTATACACTCTGCTTGCTTCTCTACTGCTAGCCTCTCACTATACACTCTGCTAGCTTCTCCACTGCTAGCCTCTCACTATACACTCTGCTAGCTTCTCTACTGCTAGCCTCTCACTATACACTCTGCTAGCTTCTCTACTGCTAGCCTCTCACTATACACTCTGCTTGCTTCTCTACTGCTAGCCTCTCACTATACACTCTGCTAGCTTCTCTACTGCTAGCCTCTCACTATACACTCTGCTAGCTTCTCTACTGCTAGCCTCTCACTACACACTCTGCTTGCTTCTCTACTGCTAGCCTCTCACTATACACTCTGCTAGCTTCTCTACTGCCTCTCACTATACACTCTGCTAGCTCCTCCACTGCTAGCCTCTCACTATACACTCTGCTAGCTCCTCCACTGCTAGCCTCTCACTATACACTCTGCTAGCTCCTCCACTGCTAGCCTCTCACTATATACTCTGCTAGCTCCTCCACTGCTAGCCTCTCACTATACACTCTGCTAGCTTCTCCACTGCTAGCCTTCCACTATATACTCTGCTAGCTTCTCCACTGCTAGCCTTCCGCTATGTACTCTGATAGCTTCTCCACTGCTAGCCTCTCACTATATATTCTGCTAGCTTCTCCACTGCTAGCCTCCCGCTATATACTCTGATAGCTTCTCCACTGCTAGCCTCTCACTATATCTTCTGCTAGCTTCTCTACTGCTAGCCTCTCGCTATACACTCTTGATAGCTTCTACACTGCTAGCCTTCCGCTATATACTCTGCTAGCTTCTCCACTACTAGCCTTCCGCTATGTACTCTGCTTGCCTCTCTACTGCTAGTTTTCTTGCACTCACACTTAGGAGTCCGCTAGCCTCTCTACTGCTAGCTTGTCTGCCCTCACTTCTCCAACCTCTTGCCTCCAGTGGGGGATCAGTCATCACCGCTGGAGAGGACGAGGTGTGGAGAGCGGGACCCGGACTTCTCTCGTCTCCCCGCTTCTCTTTACTCCAACCAACTCAACTCACAACCACTCCCTCGTGTCTCCGCACATCGCCTTAAATCCCCTTACTCATTAAGAGACCCCAGGTAGCCCTCATTAAGCTGCTGCTCACGCAGCTCTCTGCCACGCTTATCGCCCCCATCTCCAGACTCCCAGGCGCCTACACCGTGTCTGCATTTGCAGCCAGCCAATCACTGCTATGCATCTTCATTGGTCGTCTCTCTCTGGATTGCTCTCTCACCGCACCTGTTTGCCTTGACGGGTCCTCACTGTCCGCCACTCACACGTGCGTGCTACTCCACTACACACACACCAGGACCGCTCGCTTACCTGCACAGCTCCTCTGCCAGAGAATTCGACCCGCGCCAGCATCCAGCTCGCTCCCTGGTTCCCCTGCAGGGACCACGCGAGCTGCCGGCTGGAGCCTGCTGCGGACAACCCCACCAGCAACGGAGATTTAAAACGCAGAGCCGCAACCTCCGATCACGTCACGGGGACACACCGCACTCCGCCGCGGAGGTTGGGAGTCTCTGGGATGATGGAAAAGCGAGCTCCATGTGAATTTTAATTTACTCGATTGAAAGGCGTTCAGTTTTACCGGAGAGCTGTCCACCAGAAAATAAACAAAACCACATTCTGAAATGTCAAGGGGCATCAAATTATCGATAAGTCTACAGGCTTCCTACCCTCCTTGATGTAAACGTTGATGGCCATGTTCTCTGCTGACCCATACAGGAAGTAGTGGAAGCTCAGGACGAGGCACCCAGAGGAGGGGAGAGCCGGACTCTCCAGCAGCAGCGTCGCTCCAGGGTCGTTGAACTCAGAGTCCAGCAGCAGGTAACTCCCCACTACACACAGCAGAGTTAACACAGTGGTCCACACACACACTGTTGTATTCACTAACACAGTGATCCACACACACACTGTTGTATTCACTAACACAGTGATCCACACACACACTGCTGTATTCACTCACACAGTGATCCACACACACACTGCTGTATTCACTAACACAGTGATACACAGACACACACTGTTGTATTCACTAACACAGTGATCCACACACACTGTTGTATTCACTAACACAGTGATCCACACACACACTGCTGTATTCACTAACACAGTGATCCACACACACTGTTGTATTCACTAACACAGTGATCCACACACACACACTGTTGTATTCACTAACACATCGATCCACACACACACTGCTGTATTCACTAACACAGTGATCCACACACACTGCTGTATTCACTAACACAGTGATCCACACACACTCTGCTGTATTCACTAACACAGTGATCCACACACACACTGCTGTATTCACTCACACAGTGATCCACACACACTGTGCTGTATTCACTAACACAGTGATCCACACACACTCTGCTGTATTCACTAACACAGTGATCCACACACACACTCTGCTGTATTCACTTACACAGTGATACACACACACACTGCTGTATTCACTAACACAGTGATCCACACACACTCTGCTGTATTCACTTACACAGTGATACACACACACACACACTGTTGTATTCACTAACACAGTGATCCACACACACTCTGCTGTATTCACTAACACAGTGACCCACACACACACTGCTGTATTCACTTACACAGTGATACACACACACACACACACTGTTGTATTCACTCACACAGTGATACACACACACACACTGCTGTATTCACTAACACAGTGATTCACACACACACTGCTGTATTCACTAACACAGTGATTCACACACACACTGTTGTATTCACTAACACAGTGATTCACACACACTCTGCTGTATTCACTAACACAGTGGTCCACACACACACTGTTGTATTCACTAACACAGTGATTCACACACACACTGCTGTATTCACTAACACAGTGATTCACACACACATACTGCTGTATTCACTTACACAGTGATTCACACACACTGCTGTAGTCACTAACACAGTGATTCACACACACTGCTGTATTCACTAACACAGTGATACACACACACATACTGCTGTATTCACTTACACAGTGATTCACACACACTGCTGTAGTCACTAACACAGTGATTCACACACACACACTGCTGTATTCACTTACACAGTGATCCACACACACTGCTGTAGTCACTAACACAGTGATTCACACACACACTGCTGTATTCACTAACACAGTGATTGAGACACTGCTGTATTCACTAACACAGTGATCCACACACACACTGCTGTATTCACTAACACAGTGATTCACACACACACTGATGTATTCACTAACACAGTGATCGAGACACACTGCTGTATTCACTAACACAGTGATCCACACACACACTGCTGTATTCACTAACACAGTGATCCACACACACACTGCTGTATTCACTAACACAGTGATCCACACACACACTGCCATATTCACTAACACAGTGATCCACACACACACTGCTGTAGTCACTAACACAGTGATCGAGACACATTATACTGGGTATGGGTGTCAATGCCAGGAGCTCGAGTGGAGGCTGTGAGTGATGCGAGGCTGTAAGATACTCACAGCCAGGCCGAGTGAAGTCATCGTCAGGGCCAGTGTTCTCAGTGTCTGTGGGACCGTTCCATTGCTCCCAGCCAAAGTCCCCTCCGCTGTTCGCCCAGCCGCAGAAGTCCCCCATCTCATCGAAGTCACATCCGCTCACACACTCTGTGGGGTGGGGGAGGGTCACGGACAGGACAGAGTGGCTCATTTGCAATGAGGTGTCTCACGGTGACGCGACTTTTGCATCAGCTTTCTGACGGTGCAACACGTCACGGTGTTTCGTGTGGCATGTGCGCATCAGCTGCGGTAAAATGTACGCGTGTAGAACAACTTAACGCTCTGACAATACAAGTCAAATTTATGTAATAACATCGCATGCGGTAGGTATGGTTTTTCAGGCTCGGAAAGTTATCGGCATTCTTCATCGCCGTCGTCGTCGCTGTTAAACTCCAACATTCGGGATAATTCAGGATTTTTCGTGAAACGAGATCGCGACCCTGTTCCTGAGAGTGCACAGATCTGTGCTCACCTGGGCATTTCCCCATCACGACGACGATGTCATCCAGCGCTACGTCACTCATCCTGCTCTGTCCTCGAACGCCCTCGATGGTGACCTAGGAAGATCACAGAGCCTCGACACATTGCTCCCAGAATGAGGAGCGGCGCTACCGCTGCAAAACTGGGCAACCAGCACTGGTGCATGTTCACGCAGCGTATGCAGTTCATTCTCTCCGGCTGCTCTATCAGTAATTATTAGGGGAGCTGCAGTGGATGGAGGTTGACTCCCTCGCCTGGTATGCAGGAGGTCATGGGTTCGATCCCGACCCTCACGCCTGCTGTATATTTGGAGTTTGCGGTGTCTCTCTCTGTCATCATCATCACGGTGGCTAGGAGGTGTTAACTACCTCGCCTGGTATGGAGGAGAGCGTGGGTTCGATCCCGACCCTGACGTCTGCTGCTGTATATTTAGAGTTTGCATTGTGTGTGTCTCTCTCTCTCGTGTGGATTTTTCTTCGGCTCCTCCGGGTTTTCCCTCCACTTTTAGAAACATGCGTTATGTATGTATGTTTAGAGTATTTGGCTGCTAGAAATGTACACATGATGATAATCCACTTCGTTGAGCTATCAATTGTGGCCAGGTTGCTTCTGAAAAAGAGCTACACAGCTCAGTGTCCTTTACATGTTAAAAAAAAGGGTTTTTTTTGGTTTAACAGCCCACTCATGATGTCTGAAACAGGGAAATCTGACCTGAAATCTCGTCTCAAACAGGATCCACAAATTACCAACTCAATGGAAATCTGTTTATGATTTGTGTAGAACATTTATTAACCACATATCTAAACTTTTGTTGGCAAAATCGGTTTGCACGGGTGATATCATGCGCAGACGTTCCTTTGGCTCGTCAGATTTAAACTAAAATGCGTTTCAGTGCGTCAGCCCGCAAGCTTTCCAGACATAAAATTTTGCACACTAGAATACTCTGAACCAATTTTAATGATGTGGAACTCAACATCGGTCAGGTTTTTATCATGTGTGTCTCATCAGCAGTCAGGCTTGTTCTCGATGCTACAAATTCTAGCTCAGCTGACGAGACTGAGAAGTTGAAAACCAGTGCAGAGTTTGCCTGTTTAAACATATTCTGCAGTTGGATAATAACTTTGGATGGCCCATGGCCTGATGCACTGATCATATTGCAATTGAATGTAGAGAGATAGACGGAAGTCGGTTTATGTATTACCCATAATGCTCTACAACAGTGCACAGTATTGCATTTGTGATTGCATAGCTTCAAGTCAACGATCTCAGTTACACAAATCACAGTGTAAATGAGAAGCCACTTGAGCTATGCACTTTTAAATCCAGATTGAAAACGAATTTATTTAAGTTTAGTCCTTCACCCACACCTCCATAATCACGGTTGGCTACGTATGGTGCGAAGTTAAACATACATACATACAACATACGTATAGTACAAGGTGATTGGGCAGCGTGAATCTCCCCTTCACACTGGGACCTTTATGCAAAACACAACCAGCATCATCTAGCACGTCAGATGCGATGCACGATTCATCTCAAGGCCGGTGCTGCCAGGTGGCACTGAGCTGAGTGATTATTAGGAGCCACTGACCTGGGTTTCTGGCCTGGCTTGAATGGTGACGGTTCCCTGCAGCCAGGCGCTGCTCTGCTGCCCCTCCGCGCGCCACACGCGTCTCTCTCCGCCGTCCTCCAGCACGTGCACGTTCAGGGTCATAAGTTCATCGCCGTACATGTGGTACCAGAAGCTCAGGCACACGTTCTGGTTGGTGTTGATGCTGGGGCTCAGGAGCCTCACTCCTCCCCCAGCTCCCACGGACGCAGAGTCCAGGTAGAGGTAGAAGGAGGCTGAAACAAACGAGGACGTCCCGCTGTGATCCCTTGGCAATGTCCTGTGAATCAAGTTCTTATCCGAGTCTGGAGCCATCCTTGCTGGATAAGTTCAAGGCACAGTCTCTACCGAAGGCTTCAGCGTGATGCAAACGACATTTTAATTACTCCTTCTCTTCACTGCTATTGTTCATCCCAGCATCTCGAAAGCACAACAGGAGGCCCATCCAACTTTGTGGCTTTTCACGCGGCCAAAGATGTTCTGTCCTCGCAAGAGAACCACCGCAACGGTCGCGTCAGTGAGACACAAAGCCCTGTTAGGTGCCTCTGCATTAACGGGCTGGGGTTTCACTAACATGTTCACCTCTGCTCCCTTAGCCTCGATGTATCGATGGTTCTGGCTGTGTGATGGGCTTTGTGTCTCACTGACGCGACCACCGTTGTGGTGGTTCTCTTGCGTGGACGTGCTTGCCTCACAGCGCAGTTGGCAGCGCCGCAGCTTGTGTTACACATAGACATTACATTAACTTGTTAATCCCCCTAATATCCCTGCCTGATCTCTCCCATCAACACAGTGCTAATCTCCCATTAACACCGCTGTTGTGCGCATATGCTGGGATGATACTCTTATGCGGCGCCGGAAGCTCATTTCATGCTAATCTCTCCCTAATCTCTCTTTCCTTAATCTCCCCCATTAACACAACTGTCGTGCTTGCATCCGGGGATGGAATTCCTTTCCAGCTCAGACCCCGCCTGCTTGCCCTTCGCCACTTATATAACAGCTCTCTCGCTGGTTCAGCAGTTCCACTGCTGGATTCTTTTTTCCGCCTGAGGACGACTGCTTGTGTTGCGATCGAAACGTCGTGATATATTATTTTTGTTTTATTTTATTTTTATACCTATGTGACTTTACCGAAAGAACCAAAGAGTATAAATACATTTTATTTTGCCAGGGAAGGCCCACTGAGCTATGTAGCACTTTTTCAGCAGCGATCTGGCCATTACAAATGATAGCTCAATGTAATGGCTTATAATCACGTGGACATTTATAGCAGCCAAATACTCTAAATGCATGATTCTAAATGTGGAGGGAAAACCCGGAGGAGCCGGATAAAATCCACGCGACCACGGGGAGGGAGGGAGACACGCAAACTTCAAATGAACAGCAGGCGTCAGGGTCGGAATCCAACCTGAGACCTCCTGTATATCAGGTGAGGTAGTTAACATCTTCCCACGTCTCATTGGTGAGCATGGGAAGTTGCACAGCATTAAAAAGAAAAACGCAACAATATGAGGCAGCGAGTCCGTTCCCCATCTTTCTATCCCCCGCTTTTCATAACCAGTTTGGTTTATCTATAATATCCTTTTTTTTGGGTTTGATGTCATAAATATAAATGTGTCGTTAAACCCGCCACCACACGACACAGCCAATGAATAAGGTTTGTCACGTAAACAGAACGTGCCAATTCGTTACTAGTACAGCACACCGGTGTGTTGGAGAGCCAAGCCACAACATTTACAACGTTACATCACATCACAACGTGATGTAATGAGCCCGAACATTGCCTCAATGAAAACAAATAACAATCAGCTGTGTGCAAGGACATATGCACTGTTTAGTTCCAGCTCAAGGGACAGGGGTGTGGGGGTGGGCAGTGGTGTCTCACAGCCGGTGGTGTGGTCCCCAGGTGGGCCGGTGTTGGGGTTGGGGGTTGCTCCCGAGTTCCTAATCCAGTCTCCATCATCATCATCCGACTGAGTCCAGCCGCACAGCGGGAGCGCCGCGTCGTCAAAGCTGCAGCCGAGACGCGCATCTGCAGAGACGACACGAAGCATCGACGCGCATGATGCTCGTTTAATTGTTCACGTGTAGTGAGTCCAACTGAGTTGCAGACTTTTCTCTTTAGAGACAACACATTTATTGTAACATCAACACGTTAACACAAAGGGGTAACTGCCCCTTCACCAGATACAGCCTAGGGTGGTGACCACCCAGCTAACTACTCTATACGTAGGAGTTACAGCGACGAAGGGTCAGACCCTCACTCGGGTCCTCGATCACGTGTTGATGCCTCGTAGGACGTAGAGCTTCCAGCTTGTAGATGTGGAGCTTCCAGCTTGTAGACGTAGAGCTTCCAGCTTGTAGAACGAAGCGACTCTGGTCTCTCTCAGGGACCCACCTTATATCCTCCCGGGTCGGGGCCGGCTCCGCCCTCGGCCCCGCCCACCTTCTCGAGCGTTCTAGCTCCCTCTATCCCCCTCGAGAGCTCTCCCTGGACACGTAATCACCCCCTAGCCCCCCCACCTGGGGCCTTCTCTATGAACACTCCGGATCACGTGTCTACGGGGTCAACCAGAGTGCCATGGCCCGGGGCAACCCTGCCCCTGGGCTGACACTCTCCCACTCCCCCTCGTGGGAGCCCGCACTACACGCTATGCGTGGTGCCCGCGCTATCCCAGCGCTCACCAAGCCCCGCTAGGGCTGGTACTACACCCGCCTACGGGGTGTACGTGATGACGGTGCATCGCACGCCGTGCTATGCTCAAGCCGGCCTCACAGCAACCCACCCGGTGCTGTCCGCGACGTAGAAACATCACACGCCACGACCCTCCCGGGGCGGCACCATACAGTGACATCCCCGATGTCACTACACATACACAAGTCCATTGAGTCGAGTTATCTGTTTTGCCAAGCAGAGATTTATATAATCGTCATTGGTATTGACGGTGAGTGGGAATCAAACTCGGTTCACCAGGTTTCGTAGTGCAGCACGCTAATCGCTACACCACCGCTCAATACATCAACGCACGTGGCGTTTGATTCTTTATTGAATTTTGGGTTTAGGTCGCGTTAAGTCTGAAGTCAAATACCCTTTGCCACCTGACACAACCGAACAAATCAAGTTGCACACATGACCAAACGTGCCAATCGCCATGCTTTGCTGTAAGGCAATCTACACAGAAGATGTGACCGTTAGATCGGGATACGTTTTGTGATACTCGTCCGCGTGTATTGCATCGCGTCTAGCTCGCTGGCTTTTGTAACGCAACTCCGGTCGAAAGCGGAATCTGGTGGCATGTGACTCGATTCGGGGCATGTGACTCAAACCCCAGCTGGGGGTTGCATCAGCCCTCATCCCATATGGGGGGGGGGGGCGGGGGTCATTAACTATTTAGATTATTTTGGCTGCGATAAATGTCCAAATGATAAGCTGTCCACTCGTGGTAGCCAGGTCACCTTTGACAAATAAGTTAATACCTCAGTGGGCTTTGCCTGATAGGATGGGGATAGTTTAGTTTTGTATTTGTATGTGTGTGGGTGATTTATTTACCTTTCTTGTACTTTCCACTCCTATCGTGTGTGTGTACTGTTTGTTGTTGTAACGTTCTTACCCGCCCCAAATGGACATCTGTGAAAAAAAGAGCTTTATAGCTTACCGGATTCCTCCAGTGTAAATAAATATTCTCATTATGATAACATGGGTGTCACGATAGGACGATAAGGTGTGGATTGTCCCTGCCATGGTAACGTGGAATTGAGTAGGAGGCCACTTTCACTCTTCGCTTTGAACTGTAACCGTGTGAAGCTCGCTAAGATGCATTCTCTCTTCAACCAGAAAGAGCTTAAGAAGTCATCGCTACGCAGGGACGTGTGATTATTATTATATATTTTTTATGACAGCAACAGGAGGAGTTGGCTGCATTGAACACGATCATAATTTACAGCGCTTTGCCACGGGGATCTTTTAACCATACTTCACCGCACTGTTCAGTGCCGCCGGTTGGGGAAGGGGAGAGTGTGGGACCGGTCCGAACTTGACCCGTTACTAATGTTAGCCATGCCGCGAATTGAACTAAGGTCACCGGATACACTAGCACCGTACGATTAAAGAGCAGCGGTAATTTGTAGTTGAGATGCCAGTGTTACAGCACTTTCACGGCACAGTTATTGTCACACAAAAAAACCTCCCAATGATTTTTCCGTGACTGCCGTGAATGGGAACACATTGTTACGAATGAGTCGGTCGCGAGCAGCGAAAAGTGCCCCAGGGATGCGGTGTGGATGGTGCCATGCGGAGGAGTGGCCGAGCACCTGGCACTGGAGTCATGGGTTGCTGCGGGATGCACGTGGTGGTGGTGGTGGTGGCAGGGGGAGCAACGCTTGTACTTCCTGAAACAAGACAATTTGATTGTTGGGTAACCACTAAACATCAACATTGCATTCTAAACCTCTGGCATTGATCATCGAGTAGCTGTTAACCTTCTTCTCCAAAATGGTTCAAAGATGTTCGAGATCTTTCAACCGCAGGACATATAGCCGCGACGGCCAGGGATGCATGGCTTCGAGTCCACTTTTGAATCTCTGTGTTTGTGTTGATCGGTATAACAAAAAACACAGCAATAAGCATTGGGCCAGACTCCACTGCATTGCACGTATGTTTGTCTTCGTATTTACTTTGTTAAACTTCATTCACACCGGTGTGTAGCCAACTGTGCTAATCCGAGGTGCGGGGTAGGACAACAAACTAAAGACAAGAAGCAGTTCTAAATAAACTAGTTTTCAATGTAGTATAGTGGAGTGTATACTAGTGTAGTTTCGAGTGGTGTAGAATAGAGAAGGAATTAAAGGAATAGAGTGAACACCTTACATTAATCCTTCGTTGCATTAAAATAAATCGATGCCATAAATTGACATTAATAAACAAAGTAATATTGAGCAGGATAATACAAATCTAGAAATATATAAAATACCACACTCAAAAATTACAAACCACAAAATGCAGTCGGTTTCAGGCTCAAACATGTTGAAGCACTTTGACCTTCGTAAACAGGGGAAAGTCGTGGCAGTGTGGTTAGTGCCCTGTAAGTTATGAGCCTAAGTTCAATTCCCGGCCACAGCCAACATCAGGTGATGAATGACATCGTAACCAATGCCCCCTTTCGCCACATCGTGGGTGGTGAGATGTTAACTCCCTCGCCTGGTATACAGGAGGCCGTGGGTTTTATCCCGACCCTGACGCCTGCTGTTTATTTGGAGTTTGCGGTGTCTCTCTCCCCGTGGTCGCATGGATTTTTCTCTTTATTAATTATGTCGTGCAATTATTATGCGCACAACTCGTTAATTAGTGGATAATTAAAGACAAGCCGCAGTGCTGCGATTATGGCCATGCAGCCTCGAACTATGGAGCACACGGCAAACCCCACTGTGGTCTGCGCTCCTTAAACGGAGGAGGAGGAACGGCAAAACTCTCTGCTGAAGCCCTCTCGTCGTGACCAACAGACCTCGACATTGCCACCTAGCTCCCGCACACACGTGTGTGCTATCATATGCAAAAATATAATTATGCCGTAGCATAATACATGTGTTACACGATGCATCGATTTACGTGATGTTAATTTAAAAAAATAACCCTTGATTGGAATCGTGACTCCCTGAGTCATTACAATTTCCTGTCATCGCCGGCTGAGTGAATCGTCACCATTGATGGTGTCGTGAGAAGTGGCCGTAGACTCCGTCCGGTCGGCAGACGGCACGGACGAGGTGCTGACGAAGATCTCTGGTGCTGACGACGATGGGAAAGGGCTCCATGTGGAGTCCTCGACCAGTGAGCCTGTGGAGCCGCCCGGGACGCTTGTTGTTGCTGTTGCTGCTGTTGCTGCTGCTGTTGTTGCTGCTGTTGCTGCTGCTGTTGCTGCTGTTGCTTCTGTTGCTACTCCCGTTGCTGCTGTTGTTGCTGCTGTTGCTGTTGCTGCAGTTGCTTCTGTTGCTACTCCCGTTGCTGCTGTTGCTGCTGCTGTTGATGCTGCTGTTGCTGCTGCTGTTGCTGTTGCTGATGTTGCTTCTGTTGCTACTCCCGTTGCTGCTGTTGTTGCTGCTGTTGCTGTTGCTTCTGTTGCTACTCCCGTTGCTGCTGTTGCTGCTGCTGTTGTTGCTGCTGTTGCTGCTGCTGTTGCTGCTGTTGTTGCTGCTGTTGCTGCTGTTGCTTCTGTTGCTTCTGTTGCTACTCCCGTTGCTGCTGTTGTTGCTGCTGTTGCTGCTGTTGCTTCTGTTGCTACTCCCGTTGCTGCTGTTGCTGCTGCTGTTGTTGCTGCTGTTGCTGCTGCTGTTGCTGCTGTTGTTGCTGCTGTTGCTGCTGCTGTTGTTGCTGTTGTTGCTGCTGTTGCTGCTGCTGTTGCTGCTGTTGCTTCTGTTGCTACTCTCGTTGCTGCTGTTGTTGCTGCTGTTGCTGCTGTTGCTGCTGTTGTTGTTGCTCCTGCTGTTACTGTTGCTGCTGTTGCTGCTGTTGCTGCTGTTGTTGTTGCTGCTGCTGTTGTTGTTGCTGTTGCTTCTGTTGCTGTTCCTGTTGCTGCTGCTGTTGCTGCTGTTGTTGCTGCTGTTGCTGCTGCTGTTGCTGCTGTTGCTTCTGTTGCTACTCCCGTTGCTGCTGCTGTTGCTGCTGCTGTTGCTGCTGTTGTTGTTGCTGCTGTCGCTGCTGTTGATGTTGTTGCTTCTGTTGCTGCTCCTGTTGTTACTGTTGCTGTTGTTGCTGTCGCTGCTGCTGTTGATGTTGCTGTTGCTTCTGTTGCTGTTCCTGTTGCTGCTGTTCTTATTGCTGTTGCTGCTGCTGTTGATGTTGTTGCTTCTGTTGCTGCTCCTGTTGCTGCTGCTGTTGCTGCTGCTGTTATAGGGACTGTGGAGCCGACTGTTGGTTCCTGGGTGCTGTGTGCAATGCCAGCGGTAGGCAGCGCCACGGCTGCGCTGCTCGCCGTGCCAACCGAGAGAAGAGTGGCTGTGAGATCCGTCGACGATGATTTTGTAGGGCCTGGAGGCGTGGGGGGTGGGGGGAGAGGGGTGGGGGGTGGGGGGAGAGGGGCGGGGGGCGGGGGGAGGGGGCAACGTCACCCGCGTCACAGTTCCAGTGAACGTCACAACGCCGGCAGACGTTTATCCAACCACGCCGCCCGGACGCGGATTTTCAAGTTCAACGGTAAACGTCGACAATGGGCAGTGGGCGACAGTGTCGGAGGCATTTACCTGCGGCCGTGCTTGAAGGCTGCACGGGTGGACATCCTGCGGAATGAAATAAGTTGCGTGGTTACATTATCTGCAGGCATGGCGAAGCGCGCACGGTGGCAAACGTGCGTTTCCGCGTCCCTGCGGCCATGTCGAATTAACAACGTTGTCCCCCCACCCCCGCATAGCTTTCAACCCCACACGGTTTATCCCGTATTATTGTACAGGGAAATTGAGTTTTCAGGTCCATACGGCGTACAGCCGTTTAAATACGGGAGAACATTGCAAGTGACAGAGTTTGGTGTGGAGAAGCGCCGGGCTAAGAAGCTCCAGGCTAAGAAGCGCCGGGCTAAGAAGCTCCGGGCTAAGAAGCGCCGGGCTAAGAAGCTCCAGGCTAAGAAGCTCCGGGCTAAGAAGCGCCGGGCTAAGAAGCTCCAGGCTAAGAAGCGCAGGGCTAAGAACCGCCGGGCTAACAAGCGCCAGGCTAACAAGCGCCGGGCTAAGAGCGCCGGGCTAAGAAGCTCCGGGCTAAGAAGCGCCGGGCTAAGAAGCTCCGGGCTAAGAAGCGCCGGGCTAAGAAGCTCCGGGCTAAGAAGCGCCGGGCTAAGAAGCTCCGGGCTAAGAAGCTCCGGGCTAAGAAGCTCCGGGCTAAGAAGCGCCGGGCTAAGAAGCTCCGGGCTAAGAAGCGCCGGGCTAAGAAGCTCCGGGCTAAGAAGCGCCGGGCTAAGAAGCTCGGGCTAAGAAGCTCCGGGCTAAGAAGCTCCGGGCTAAGAAGCTCCGGGCTAAGAAGCTCCGGGCTAAGAAGCTCCGGGCTAAGAAGCGCCGGGCTAAGAAGCTCCGGGCTAAGAAGCTCCGGGCTAAGAAGCGCCGGGCTAAGAAGCTCCGGGCTAAGAAGCACCGGGCTAAGAAGCTCCGGGCTAAGAAGCGCCGGGCTAAGAAGCTCCGGGCTAAGAAGCTCCGGGCTAAGAAGCGCCGGGCTAAGAAGCTCCGGGCTAAGAAGCTCCGGGCTAAGAAGCGCCGGGCTAAGAAGCTCCGGGCTAAGAAGCTCCAGGCTAAGAAGCGCCGGGCTAAGAAGCGCCAGGCCCTAGTGCAGGGGTCCTCAAACTACGGCCCGCGGGCCACATGCGGCCCACCGAGGGCATTTATCCGGCCCATGGTCATTAATTGGGCTGCGCTTGTGAGCACTAATTGGGCTGTGCTGGTGAGCACTAATTGGGCTGCGCTGGTGAGCACTCATTGGGCTGCGGTGGTGAGCACTCATTGGGCTGCGGTGGTGAGCACTCATTGGGCTGCGGTGGTGGGCACTGATTGGGCTGCGGTGGCGAGCACTGATTTGGCTGCGTTGGTGAGCACTGATTGAGCTGCGTCGGTGGGCAATGATTGAGCTGCGGCGGTGGGCACTCATTGGGCTGCGCTGGTGAATGGTTCAATGGGCCAATTGACTGGACTTGCCCCCCAGGCCTAAGGCTGCCAGCCCTCCCCTGGCTGCGCTTGACTGGCTCTCCCTCCCTCAGCTCCCTCACTTGCCCCTCGGCTCCACTCCCAGTGATATTCCCGTGTGCTGAGTAAATGATAGAGGGGTAATAACAGAGTGATCTCTGATCTCTGGAGGCGCTGCCTGCTGTTTTCCCGTGCTGGTCAGTGACAGACAGCCGAGGAGTAGGAAACCCCAATTTAAATGACAGTAAGTGCATTTATATTCTGATTGCTATTCAATTATATGAGGTTATATGTTGTATGTTGTGTAAGCGCCGGTTTATACTGTTGCGATCTCTGAGCAGTGCGAGTTCAGCCATATGCTTGTATGGCTGAACTTGCATTAGATTCGGAAGAAAAAAGGCACATGTGCCTTCTTTTTTCCTGCAGTGGAATCGGATCGCATGGGTCTTCTCCCCCATGCGATCAGATTCCTATGCGAGTTCGCAGATCGCACTGCGATCTGTGAACCAAACTGCAGGTGTAATTAACTTTTTAATGGCACCCGCACCAGTGTGAGCTTGGGGTAAAAGCGGAGTTCCCCCAATCAGACTGCATTGATGGGCAGTGCAGTCTGTATGTCTCTGTGTGGGCAAAGTTATTGCTGGTATATTGTTTTTGTAGCGCTGTATATATATTGGTATTTACTAATAGCAATTTTGACTCCCTAGGAAACAATGATGTCAAGAAAGATAAAATTGACTCGGAGTGTAGGAATTCAAAAACAGTGGACGTATCATTACTTTTTCATGCAGTACAAGGAAAGATTTGTGTGTCTGATATGCCAGAATATAGTGTCTGTGTTCACAGAATACATTTTACGTCGACACTATAAAACTCAACGTAAAGATAAAATATGATTGTGGCGGAGAAGTGAGAAAGATAAAATATTAAAACTGAAAAATGCATTAACAACTCAGCAAAATACTTTTGTGAAGCAGAAGCAGCTAAATATTTCATCACTGCGAGCAAGTTTTCAAGTTGCCAAGCTAATAGCGTGCACTGGCAGACCATTCGTTGAGGGAGAATTGTTAAAGAATGCCTTCTTTCTGTTGCCAAAGAGATGTGTCCAGAGAAGGCCGATTTATTTAGTACAGTGAGTCTTTCAGGACCTACAATTACACGGAGGATTGAAGAAATGGGAGACAATTTCCATCAGCATTTGCAAAACTCCGCAAAAAAACTTTCTATTTTTCCTTAGCACTCGACGAAAGCAATGATGTTCGTGATTCTGCACAACTTCTGATTTTATTCGTGGACGAATGACTATTTCGAAGTCACAGAAGAGCTTGCTACACTGCAAAGCATCAAAGGAACAACTACAGGAGAGGATATCTATGAAAGGTTTGCCAAACTGTGAATGGTTTGGAGACTGGGCTAACTGGGCCTAAACTAGACAGTGTGACAATATGGGTGCTCTAGCATGGTGGGGTCTAAGAAAGGAGTAATTGCTCGCATTAACCAAGAGATGGACAAACATAACCATTCTCATCCAATAGCCATACACTGCCTCATCCACCAACAAGCGCTGTGTAGTAAATCACTGAAGTGGGACTCTGTTAACTTCATTAGAGCTCATGCACTAAACCACAGACAATT